CGGTTAATGTCTTGCTTGCTCAAAAAAGATTCCATCATCATCATCATCATTTGAATCCATTAATTTTATCATCATCATCATCGTTTGGTTGTTGCGAAAGAGTGAATAAAAAAAAGATGTTCCATTTAGTCTTTCATTCATTCTTTCCGGAAATATTTCTCTATCTTGCTTACAATCATCATCACAAATATATTTGTCAATTGCACAATTTAATGTTTTTTTTTCAAAAAAAAAAAAAAAAAATTTTTATCATCTGCCATTAACACAATGGACAAATTGATTTTTATTATTATTTTTTGTCCATTATTTTACTATAGTTTCTTTTTCACTAAACAACAGAAACATGGATTCCATTTTTCTTCGTGTGTGTGTTTAAATTGATTTTTCTGGAAACTTTCTTTTTTTTGGCACTGAATAAAAAAATGAATGAACAAAAACCAGAATTTGAAAAATGTTTGACCCTGTTCTGTTTGAAATGGTTTTTCTGTTTTTTTTTTGTTGTTGTTGAATGATAATCATTTAATAATGATCAAAAAAAAAATGTCAAAAAAATGAAATTTTTTAACCCATCATTCGATAGGATTTAGCTTGTTTTGGTTTAGCGATTGTAAATAAATAAATAAAAAATTTCTTGCAATTAAAATGTGTTTGTCATTTTTTGTTTATCCCGTTAACCCTATGGTAAAAACTGGGGGGCGAAAAACGGTTGTTTTTCACACATTTTTTTGAAGGGGGATTTCTCAATAACAACAACAACAACAACAGAAAGAATATGAAAAAGAAGAAGAAAAAAAACGATAAATCTTATCGCCGATATAAATCCCTTTTTTCTCATTTTATTATTTTTCGTTCACTGCTGCTGCTGCTGCTGCTGTTTCAAGAATTTACCAAGAAATCCAGATTAATGGCAGCGAAAAAAAAATATTTTCAATTTTTTTTTTGTTTTTAATGTTTTTCATTCTCTCTCTCTCTTTGTTGTTGTTTTGGTTGAATAAAATCAATCATCCACACACACACACAATGAAAAAACTTTATGACGATCATTCAATTGTTTTCTCTCACTCTTTCTCTTGGTTTCTGGAGCAAACAATTTTTTTTATATAACCCATCTATTTCGACACAGCATGACATTGGATATTAGTTGTTGTTGTTGTTTTCTTATTCAGGAAAAAAAATTATTCAATTTTCAAAAACAGAGAATAAAAAAAAATTCATAAATTTATTACGCGTTAAACTTTTAAAAAATGAATGTTTTTTTTCGGCAATTTTCTCTGACAATTTTTCTTTACTTTGCTGGAAATATTTCTAGAAAATTTATAATCTCTTTTATATTCGGGATTTGTTTCTCTCTCTCTATATCTCGATGATCGGCAAACAAACAAAAAAAATTGTTTTTTTTTCATTTTGCAAAAATATCATTACATTAAAATCAATCGATAAATTTTGAGAATAAAAAAAAACAAAATCGATTCGAATGTCACCCAAAAAAAAAGGAGAGAATTTCTCGTTGTTGTTCTATTCAGTTGAAAGAAAATTTCCGGGAAAACATCCATATTTTGTGAAATGATTTCCCCGTCACTGAACAATGATTGATGGATTTATGTTCAATGAATGAATTCTCTAAACTAAACTACTTTCTATAGCTTATTTATCCATTCATTGGATTCATTCAGAAAAAATTTTCAACAAAAAAAAAAAAGAGATTTGAATGATGCCAAATAACAACAACAACAAAATTTGAATACTTATAATTTATTGATGATGATTATGATAGCATTGATCACAGTAAAAGAAAAAAAATGTTATCCGAGAAATGTTACCCGATCAAACCAATCATAATGATGATGATGTTGACGATTTTTTTTTTTGTATCCATTTTCTTCGTTGACAACAACTCAATCATCATCATCATCATCATCTCTTTTTCTGATCAAATTCGTTTGGATCAATAAAATGGATGGATTAATAATTATCAGATAATTAGACAAATTGCACAAAGATAACAAACAAACAAAAGCAAAACTGAATATCAAAAATGAAAACTTTCAAAAGTTTTTTTCTCATGGATTTTTTTTTCACTATAACTTTTGTGATTAATGATGATGATGCTAATCATTAGCATCATCATCATCATCATCATCATTATAATGATCTTTATTATGATTTTGAATAATAAAAGAAATCAATTATCTTTCTATCAACCATTATCATAATGATGATGATGATAATCATCATTATCATTTTTTCACATTGAAATCAACATTTATATAAAAAGTGTGAATGAAGATATTTTTCCTCATAAGATAATTATCAGATTAATTCAGTGAATGAAAAAAAAGGAAAAATTGCCAGAAACAAACAAACAAAAAATGTTTCCAGAAACTTTTTTTCTTACGCTCCTCCTTTTTGGTCCGTTACGTTTCATTTCACCATAGACCATGAAGGAAAATTATTATTATTAGATGTGTCAATTCTTCAAATTTCAAGCATGCTTCAACATACAAACGAACAAAATTTGCATTCGTTTTGCGTCTTCACAAAATCATCATGGGAATTATCATCATCATCATTCTGAAGAAATATATTTCTAAGCAAAGCAGCAATAATAATAATAAAGAATTGGATGGATGCTACCCATTCAATATATTCAAACACAAACAAACCAACAAACAAACAAATCAAGTTGAACAAGCCAGAAAAAAAAACATGATTTGATAAGGTTTTTCTTTTGCTTTCAATATATTCTCTGTTCTTTGATTATGAATATTAGAATAATAATAATCATAAAAAAAATATATTCAATAATCTTGTTGTATATGTTTCTCGGGAAATTTCCCGAATTTACATTTCAAAAAAATATGTTTTTTCATTTCTGGCTATTGGATTGTAAAAAAAACAGGAGATTTTGGCATACCAAAAGATAAACACGACAAAGAAGTTGCCGAATGTCAATATGGTGAATTTTTGGCAAAATAAAATGAAATGAAATGAATGTAAAACCATCATCAACGATTCTAAATTAAATTGGCTGAATGTTGATTTGTTCTATTTGTTTATTGAATTTTTGAATGTTTTGTTGTTGTTGTTGTTGTTCAAAATTTCAACAACAACAACAACAGCAACGGAAAAACTACCAACATACAAAAATCACAATGTTTTCGTTATCTTCAACATTTGATTTCCAAGTTTAACAAGCAAACAAAATATCCGGCGGCTAATTTTCCAAATTCTCATTGATATGATAAAAAACGACGACGACGACGACGACGTTTGTTTGCTTTTTGTTTTGCAAATCATTCTAATCTCGATTCTGTAAATTCAGTAAATGTTTATTTGCTATCGGGGTCATTTTTTCTGTTTGTTTCGCTTGGTTGATTGATTTTTCAACCTTAAACTTTGTAAATACAACAACAACAACAACAGCCAAAAAAAACATCATCATTATTTGATTTTTTAATTTTACAATTTTTTTTTCAGCCGTAAAACTTGTAAATAGGGAAAAAATGAAACATTGACAACAAAACCAGAAAAAAAGTTTCCGATAAACTTTCTCGATCCTGTATATGAATTCCAAGGAAACTACATCGTCGTTCAACTTTTAGTTTGAAATAATAATAATGATGATAAACAAGTGAACAGGAAAAAAAAACAGCAAATTTAATGATGTTTACGACATACACAAATAAAAAAAAAAAATCCAAAGTTTTGTAATCCGTTTGTTGTTGTTGTTACATTGCTGCTAATCATCATCATTTGATTTGTTATTAGTGATTGCTTTTAATCAGTCAAAAAAAAAAAAAAAAAAAAAAAAAAAATTTTTTTTTAAAAAAAAAAAAACAAAAAAATTTTTTTTTTTTTTTTTATAAAAAAAAAAAAAAAAAAAAAAAAAAACAAAAACTTTTTTTTACTAAAAAAATTACAAAATAACAAAATTTACTTTGTTTTTTTTTCTGGATCTTTGAATTTTACATCATTATTTTGTTTTTAGAATTGAAAAAAAATCCAAATGTTCATTTAGGAATCGATTGATATCTCGAGAGAGAGAATTCTTTGTCAAAAATTAGAAATATTTCTTGGAAATTTCTCAAAAAAACTTTCTCTCTCTTTTTTTACCTCATTATAGAAATTTTAATAATCATCATCATTAAAACATCAAACAATAAATTCAACTATTTTAACCGAGGCAACAACAACAAAAAAAAATGGGTCATACAAATAATCATAATCTAAATCAAACAAAACAATGGTTACCACCATCATCGATACATTTTTTACATTTTCAATGTGAAAATCATTTATCATCATCAACAACAATAACAAATCAAAAAAATCGTGACAACATTATCATTAATAATAATAATAATGGTAATAGTTTTGATAAAATAAAATCCAAAATTGAAGAACCGTCATCATCATCATCATCATTGATAACCATTCAGCCATCAAGTCAATATTCAAATAAATCAATCATCAATAATTCATCATCATCATCATCATTATCATCAACGATAATCGATATCAATCAAATACCATTATGTTTAACAAAAAAATTACAAGTAACAGAAAAAAATGGTTCATTTATTGCATTAGATAATAATACATTACAATTAATGAGACAATTAGAACGTATTGGACATTTAAAAAAAGTTGAAGTTGAAATTGTACCATTATCAAAAGTGCCATCAAATATTGTTGATAAAATATTTAATATTCATAATAATAATAATTGTAATAATAATTGTAATAATAATTGTAATGATGATGATGATGATCATCAGATTAATCTGGCCGCCATTAATTCAAACGAAACGATAACCAAATCATCAAACATCATTGTTGACAATAATAATATAAAAATTTCATCAGCAAATGATTGTTTTGTTTGTTTACAAAAAATGGCCACAGCTGAATTGGATCCAATCAATGAAATGAAAATTGTAAATTGCCGAAATAAACAACAACAACAACAACATAACAGCAGCAATAATCATGATACAATAATGTCATCAATATCGACTATTTCAACATCAACAACAACTACAACAGCGACAATATTTGGTCAATATAATACATATCTAAGTGATCAACAATTAAAACAAACAAGAATGACAAATACAATGGTTGTAATGGCACCTTGTTTACGTAAACCAATTACAACAGCTAAAACAATAAATGATCATTTTGGTTCATCAACAACATCGACAACAACAGCGATGGATGGATCAAAAAAATTAACCAATAATAATAATAATCATCATCATTCATTATTATGCAATAATCATCACCATCAACAACGAAATAAATCAAATGATAAATGGAACAATGTTGTTTTCAAACACCATAATTGTTGTTGCACAAATCATCATCGAAATCATCATCAATCTGGTATGATTCATTCATTCATTTTATTTTTCACTGATTATTTTCTGCTCTTTGACAAAATTAATTGAAAATAATTTGCATCCAAAAACACCGAATAGAAAAATGATTGAACGTGGGCGTTCGGAATGTTTTTTTCCCAATTTTTTTTTTGGTTTGCTGTTGTTGTTGAAAAGGAAATATTCAATTTTGTTTTGAATCGAATTGATTAACATATTTTTCATGTTTTTTTTCTGTTTTGTTCATGTGTCTTGTGATTGAATAACTGTGAAAAACAAACTTGATTCTTCTGATTACAATGCATCCAGTGTGTCTGTGTGTCTGTGTGTATATATTTTCTATTAATTTTTCATTAATATTCCACAATTGGGATAATTTTAATTTTTTCGTTTTTTTCTTTACATGAATGTTGAGAGCGAACGAAAAAAATCATTGGGAAAAAAATGAAAATGAAAATGAATAAGGAAAAATGTTAAAGATCTGCAGTGAAAGATTAATGAATTTTTTTTTTTTTTTGGATGTGAATTCTTCTTATTCTTGGTAAAAGAGAAATTGGAAGATAGTGAAGGAGAGAGAAAAATCGAGTCCGGAAAATCGTCAATTTTCTTTCTTTCTATCTATCTTTGCTTTTGGATGCTTGATTTGGTTCGATTAATTTTTATCTTTTTTTTTGGGGAAAATGTTGAAACTAATAACTAATCATCATTAATAATTTTCATTTTCATTCATTCATCCAATCATTTTGAAAGTCACCAAACAAAAAGAAACAAAAAGATAATTGTTTTCCAAGACAGAATATTCTTCCATACATCCACTTCTTAGTCCACTAACTCCATATAGAAAGCAACAAAAGCTTATTATTTTTTTTCATTCATTCATTCATTCATAATTATCGATGATTTATTGATTTAATTCGGTCGTTGTTTTATCAATTGTTCTTAGCATTTGTTTTTGTTTTTGTTTTTTTTCCTATTAATGATTCCAATAGGAAAAACATCATCATCGATTTATCATAATTTAAGAATGATGATTTTCACTTGAATTGTTTCCACTTGAACATTTTCTCTCTTTAATATAGAGAGGAAGAAGAAATCGTTTTTTTCGGTTTGATTTTCATTAATAAAAGAATTTTGTCTAGACAAAAACTATAGTAATTTTCCCAGAAAGAAGACGAAGAAGAAGAAATTGATTACATTATGATTTGTCTAAAATGGTGACAAATTCTTTCAGCAAAAATTCTGAATAAATTTTTATTGAATGTTCATCAAAAGTAAATCAAGCAATACAACTCCGAAGCAAAAAAAAGTTTTTTTTCCGAAAAAAGAAAAATTTCACTTTAATCAATTTGAATTGATTAGTTTAAGTTTGATGATCGTAAATTCTCTTTGAGTTTGAGTTTTTGTGTGTGAAAAAGATTAACATTTTTTCTTTTCTTTTTTTTCGGGTAACTGAAATGAAATTTGATCGCTTTTTCGTTATTTTTTTTTCATTAATTTTAAGGATTTTGATAATGATGATTTTAATGATCGGTTTTGGTTGGGTTTTTTTTTTGATTTGGTTTGGTTTGTTTGTTTGCTTGTTGAAAATAATAAAAGTTTCAAAAGTTATTACCTTTCCCCTTTCATATCCAAAATAGGGAAAATTTGTGTTTGTTTTTAATTAGGATAATTATTTGTTTGAAACTATATATAGTGTGGGGGGAGGAAACATAAATAACGTTATCTATGGAAAACCAGACCAGAAAAGTTTTTTTCATTGTATTTGATGTAATGAACATCATCCAGATTCATCATCATCGTCATCCTGATTTAAATCATCAACATCGTCATCATCAATTTCGTCAGAATTTCATATTTCAACTTGATATGAATTGTATGGATTGATGTCATTCTGTTCAAATTCCCCCCCAAAAAAAATGAAATGAAATTAATCAGCTTTGATTAATTAATTAATTAACAAATTCTTTTGCATTTGCAGAAATGTTGCATCCGCCATACGTTTTGGAATTTCATCTCTCTCTCTCTCCCTCTCTCTCGTCCCACGCATCATTACAACAAAAAAAATCATTACATTTCATCATTTTATAAATAAAAACACAATAATAATAATATTATTATTCATAATAACAATAATAACTAATTAATAATAACTAATTAATTTTTAATTAAATTAGTAATCATCAGTAATTTTTTTTCAACTATTTTTACACAAATGAAAACAATATTCGAATTCGAATTCAAAAAATTCCATTACATTTGTATCAAGTTGTTTCGTTCGTTTTAATTGAGATTTATTATCATTTTCTTTCTTTCTTTTTGATTTCTTCAATTTTTATCGTTTTTTTTCTCAGCCGAATGATGATTGTTGTTTGGTGAATTGTTGGGAAAAAAATTCGCAAGTTTTTCTGCATGGTACTCATTGGCTGGATACAGAACTTGATGTTTTGATTTGTTAATGTTTTTCGCTCTGCCAAATACACCGAATGATGATCATAAATCAACAGAATTAAACATTATTTTTCTATTTGTGAATTTTGTTTTTTTTGTTGTTTTGATTTGATTAATTGATCAAGTTTTAAGTGAAAAAAGAATGATCAAATGTAAGAATTTTGTTTTTTTGAATTGAACATGATCAAAGCAAAACAAAAAAAAAACTTTTCTATTCTTTCCAGAATCATGTTTACCTATTGTTTCATCATCATTTTCAATTTTGTTTTTCAATGTTTTTTTTGTTGTTGAAAAAATTAATAATTTTTCTTTGATTTTTGTTTGTTGTTACAGATAAATTGTTCAAATACTCGGCGATAGATGTCGTTAATGTTGTTGGAAAATGTTCCCATCAACATCATCATCATCATCATCAACATGATAATCATTCGAATGGATTAAATTATTGTGGTCAACATCGAAAATGTTACCATCATGATCATAATGAAAAATTTTCAATTATTGATTCATCCGATGATGAAGATACTGATGATGATGATGATGATGACGATGATGAACATTGTGAAACAAAAAATGAACAATCATCAAATCTTGACGACGATGATAATGATGATGACGACGATGAAGATGATGATGAGGAAGAAGAAGAAGAAGAAATTGAAAACGATATCGATGTAAATGACGACGATGATGATGATGATGATCAAAATCAAGATCAAGAAAATGAATTAAATGATGATGAATATTTTGCCTGTAATGTTTGTGATCGTTTATTTAAAACGGCACGTAAAATGGCTAAACATCAGGTTTATCGTCGTCATTTTGGTTGTTCAATCTGTGATCAAATTTTTCCAACATTACCATCATTAGAATTACATAAACAAACCTTGGATCATTGGTCGGATGATGATGATGATGATAATGAAGACGATGAAGATGAAGACAATGATGATAATGAAAACATCAAAGTTAATAATAATGGTGGCAACGATACTAAAATTGTTGATAATGATAATAATGTACGAATAATAATGGAACAACAACAACAACAAAAAGATTCAATGATTGAAATGAAAGAATTTTTTGGAAATATTTCGAAAAATAAATCTTTATCAACATCGAAAAATGATGAAAAATATTTTGAAAATAATAATAATCATCATAATGGTGGTGGTAGATATCCGTTGCAAACATTATCATCATCATCTTCAACAATGCCAACATCTCAATCATCATCATCATCATTATCATCATCAATAATATCGAAAAGTTTACGTTTACAAGATATGATGACAATTACGAATTTTTTATCACGTCCGACTAGTTGGATTTCATCATCCACATCATCAAATAATAATAATAATAATAATCCAACAACAACAAGTTATCCGATAGTTAAAACAAGTCGTTCATCACCTATACGATCAATATCGACATCGATCAATCAACAACAACAACAACAACCGACAATATTTACAACAAGTTTAAGCAATAAATTAATGGCATCGGTATTTAATTTTTCAATTACACGTGGTGGTGGTGGTCATGGACGTTGTGGTACAGCGGTAGCCGCATCCAAAACATCTCATCATCATCATCATCAAAATTCGGATTTTGTTTTCAGTATTGAAGAATTACCACAAGGTCTTATTTGAAAATGAAAATTTCTGTTTGTTTTTGTTTTGTTTTGTTTTTTGTTTTCGTTTAAAATTTGATTTGAAATTAAAATAATTTTTATTTTCAATTAAATAAACAATTAATTAAGATTTTAATTTAAAAACCACGACGTTTTATCGGTATAATTAATAAGAAAATTATCGATGTTACGACGGTTGTTATTGTAAATATCCAGAATAGAATTTTATCCAAATACATTGATAATAAACGCCATTCATGTATACGACGACCAATATTATCATCAACTTCTTGTCGATGTATAAGATATCGTACCATTTTTATTAATTCCTGTTCGATTTGTTGTTGTTGTTGCTGTGAACCAACAATATCTGATTGATTTGTTGTTGTTGTTGATGAAGATGATGGTCCTGGTGGTGGTTGTTGTTGATGCTGATGATAGGATGGATTTTTATGATTATCCACATCACCAGAATCCGAATTCTGTTGATTAATTTTACATCGATGTCGACAATTATTCATTGATGCTGCATAATATTCATCATTATTTGCTGATACTGCTGCTGCCATCTTTTGACGATCATTCATAAGACGATTAACAGTTTGGGCACATAAAATCGGTGTTATCGTATTGAGCAATTGACGATTATTATTATTGGTTGTAGTTGCCATTGTTGATGATTTATCATCATTATTATTATCTAATAAATTTGAAAATTGTATTCCACTATTAGTGATTATAGATGGCGTTCGTTGATTATTATTTCGTAAATAGAATATTTCATCATTCATATTTGGATTCTAAATATAGAGAAAATAAATAAGGAAGGAATTAGAATTGAAAAAACTTCTTATTTTTCTACTTGAAATTAATTTGGACACGTGGCAACTTTCACTATCAATATATTGTTTGGCATAGTCAAACTGGGGAAAAAGTGTTCGAGTGATAATTTCGAACCGTTATATAAAACGCGGGCCAGTTGTCTAATTGGATATGACGTCTGACTACGAATCAGGAGGTTGCAGGTTCGAGTCCTGTCTGGCTCGTTTTTTTTAAATTTAATTTTTTTTTTCTGAAAACTTACCAAATATTGTTGTTGTTGTTGCGGATATCGATGATGTGAATGTGGATTTGATGATAATGATGATGGTGGTGGTGGCGGTGGCCAATTCAATGATAAATGATTTGCTAATATTTTTTTTGAATTATTATTATTATTCATCATAAGGCTATTATTATCAATAATATCTTGTTCATCAATAGTTGATGATAATTTTGATGACATCATTGTCATTGGACAATAATTTCTATTATTATTAACATTATCATTATTTGGTGAATCAATATTTTCATCATTATCATCATCAGTTGTTTGTTTTATTGTTGTTGTTGTTGATAATAATGAACGTGCCATATAATAATCATTATAAATATTTTTATCATCATTTATAATTAATGATTTAATCCAATCAGGTAATTCATGTTTATTTATTGGTGAACAATAATGAAAATTTAATACAACAACAGTCATAACGATCGATATTGATGCAATACCCATTACAACGGTTAGATAAACACCTTTTTTTATAAAAAAAATTACAAACAAAACATTACAAAGAAAAAACAAAATAGAAAAATCAATCAATTGATAACTGAAAACAAAAATCAATCATTTTATCGTTAACATTTCAATCTAATTCAATTTTGTTTTGTTTTGTTGAATAAATAGTGATAATGGATCGATCAATCGATTGAGAATTCTCAAATCCATTTTCTTTGTGAATAACATGATGATTGTCGAAAAAAAACATTTCGGATAAATAAATCGTATTAATCGATTACATCATCATCATCATCATCCAAATCTAAAATACATTAAAATGATTGATAATTTCTTATTCTCAATTTTCCTGCATTTACACACAATGTGCGTACTAATGTTTTTACAAACGTCATTGGCAAACGTAATTTTATCAACAAAAAAAAAAGATTCCAAATCTTCAATCTATCTTTTGATTTTGGTTAGAAAAAAAAACGAAATGTGCTTAGTAAGCATATATACTGTGTCTGTGCAGTTTGTTTTTATCGAAAATATTTTCAGTTATGAAAATGATGATGATGATGATCCACCGACCTAACAAATGGAACTACATGTATAGAATAAATGTTTAAGTAAAGATAACCGAAGATTCGGAAGAAATCTTTTTCTTTTTTTTTTGTTTTTCGTAACAAAAACAAAAAAAAAATATTTCGAAAGATTTCCGTAATGAAATTTCTGTTCATTTATTTGGTGGAATGTTAAAGATTTTGTTTTTCTTCTTCTTCATCAGGAATTTGTAACAAAATATGAACATTTTGCGGTGGGGGCAGAAAATCATGTTCAAAACAGAGCAAATTTCGCTTTTCTTGCTATTGTATGTCGATGATCATTGATTTTTATTTCTATTTATTTAATTTATTTGAAGAAAACACACACACACAGACAGAGAGAGTAAATATATGGTGAAAATGATTCTGTTTAAGTTTAGTTTAACCGAAAGAAAAACAAACGGAAAAATTATTAGATTTTTTTTTGTACCCTCTGATCATGAAAATGAAAAATGATTTTTCCAAAATGAACAGAAAATCAGAATTGATAGAAATTATTGTTTTTGTCAGACGGAAAATTAGAAAACAAAACAAACAAAACAAAAAAACTTACCCAATAATGGTATCGATTCAGATGTTTCAGGTAATTTTTCTGAAATAGCTAACATAAATACTGAAAATGCTAATAAAACAGTAACACCAAGTGCAATTTTTTCACCCGATTCCGGTGGTAAACAGAATACTAATAATGTTAATAATGACATCATAATACATGGTATAATTACATTATACATATAATAAAGTATTTTTCTACGTATTATAATTGTTATTGTAACATCGGGAAATGGTTCAAAACAACATGGATAATAAACAACATTTCGTACTAATTTTGTTCCAATAAGATCCCATTCACCATTCGAAACATAATTTGAAAGATCAACATTTTGTGTACGATTTTCAATATTAACTGTTAAACCATCATAAATCCATGAACCTAATTTCATTAAACATATTTGATCATCGAATGGAAAATAAGTAACATCAACTTGACATGTACTACGAAATTTTGTTGGTGGTGGCCAGAATACATTTCCATTTGGTTCGATAATAGCACGGCTATTCATATAACCACGTGTATAATCATCGGCACTGGATTTGATTAAATTGATTCGAAAAATATTAATAACAAACAAATTGATAACAAACACATACTTATTATAAAGAACAATATCGGGCAGCCAAATACTTTGACATGGTATACGTATTTTACTGATATTACCAAATTCACTTGAATTCCATTGAAGAAATTCATCGATCCATTCCTAATTTTGTTGATTATTTAAAAAGAAAAAAGAAAAATGTTTTGATTTTTAATTTCAAATCATAAAATAATAACCTGATCCAGCCAAACATTAGTGGTGAGAACTTGATTTTTTTCATCCTGAAATGAGAAAAAAATTTAAAAGTGAAAATTTTCAGTTTTAACAAAAGAAACAAACCAAATCAAAAATCTGTGTCAATGTTATGCCAAGACGAATATTGATTGGTTTGGATGCATTTCTAACTGGTCGAATTGTATTATCATAATTTCTCATTAGATAATTAAACAGACGTCTTTCATCATTCATTTGTTCATTAGAAAAATCGATTGATGATTGGCTACCATCAATCGGCGATGTTTGATAGCGATTTTGATAATGTGAATTTTGATTTTGATTAAATCGTGGATATTTTCCCATTGTTGATGGTGGTTTTGATGGTTTATTACCAATAGTTGTTGTACGACTTGGTAGATTTGTATTTAATATTACAGCTTCAACACCATTCAATATTGATGATGGAAAACAAGGTGGTGATAATCCATCAATCAATATTCGTGAATATAATTCAGTGATTGATGCTTTTGTTTGAGGAAAAAAAGAAACAAAAAGAATGCAAACAAAAAAGTTAGAGAAAATTTCCTGAAATATTTTATACATTTTTTGTGTTTGTTGATTTATCTTTCCCAAAAAAACTATTATATGATTAGATATGATTGATGCGATTTATTTTTTTTCAACAAAAAAACGGATGTTTAAAGAAAAAATCATTGTTGTTTTACACAAACATCGATGACATAATCAAATTTTTTGTTGTTGTTGTTCATTTTATTCACTAAATAATTTTCCTAATTACTCAATAATTTTCAACCAAAAATAGAACCTTATCTCTGGTGAATACCCAAACTTTGAGAACACAAAAAAAAACGACAAAATCATATCTCTAATGATCCATAATATTCAATATTCAACAATAGTTTTATCTTGCTCAACCAACAACAACAAAAGAAAAGATTCATTAATCGATCATTCAATTAGAAAAAAAATTACCAACATTGAAATGAGGAAATTTGCTGAACTAAAAGCAAACATCCAAAATGAAAGAAGAAGAAAAAAAATTTGAAAAAAAGAGAGAATATTGTATGTGCGTTTCAAGTTTTCAAACAAAACAAAAAATCCAAAACAAAACAGAAAAAAAATCTAAATGAATGTCAGGGGAAAATGAGAAAGTTTCATTTCAATGATGAAATGAATAGGAAAAAAACTAAAATCAAAAGTCACCATTCAAATACACACACACACACACACACAGACACGAACAGAAAGACAGAGACCCAGAATATTCTTTGTGCCATAAATGAATGAAAATGGAAAATGTTTTCATATTCATTTTGATTCATTTCATTTATTCATTCACTATAGAATCATTCAAAAAACAAAAACAATGATAAAAAACCATCATTTTGTAATTGTGAAAAAAAAAGTTATTCTTTTATTTTTCTGGGTGATCCAATTGGAACCTTACTTTTCCCCTCACTAAAAACAAAAAACGTCGACGACGACATCATGCAATGTAGCAACGATAATGATAAATAAATTACAATGTGAAAAAGATCTTTTTGCGATGAAATGATAATATAACATTACATTATCATATCAAAAGAGAGAGATTTAAATTGAAATTCATTTATATCCTTATAAATTCATTCATTTATTCATGATTGTTTGGTTTTTTTCTGCATTGAATTGATTTCAATTCAATTCAATTGACTTGGATTTTCCCCAAACAAAACAAAACAACAAACCAGAAAAAATCAATTCAATCTTTGTCATTGTTTTTTTTGTTTTGTTTTGTTTTAAAACTTTTCAACATTCATTCAGTTTTGACGTAATCTGCGATATCAAAAAAAAAAACAACTGATGAAATGATGATATGAGAATTTATTTTTAGGGAAAATTGCCCATAGGCTTATTCTGTTTTTTTTTTGTTTTCCAAACAAAATGTTTTTGCAATGATGATGATGATTGAGTTTTTTTTGCTTGAAATGATGCGAATAAATTTTTTCTTTTGGTTCTGTTTTGTTTCTGATTTTCTCTATTAATTCTAAAAAATCAAATTGAACTTTTTTGTTTTGTTTTCGTTTTCGAGATTTAATTCGCTTTAACTGTTGTGTTTGTGTGTGGGTAGGATGTCATTTCATTTTTATTTTTCCCAGTTCAATTTGTAAACATTGTAGAACAGTGAAAACAAAAAATAAAATTTAAACGATGTGATTTTTCAAAACGAACGAGAAAAAAAGTGTAACATTAATTTTGATATGATTATTGAATCGAAACAGAAGAAAAAATAAATGATTTTTTTCGGGAAAGATTTCTTCGCCTTTTAAAAATTTCATTATAATTTTGAAATGAAAAATGATATAGGTGGGTAGAAAACAAACATATGGCCATTCTAATAATGTTTTAGGGTTCGTTGAATTTATATTTTTCTGGGAAAAAAAATTCATTTCGATTCTTTATCTCTTTTCTTGATTGTTGAAAAGAAATTTTTTTTTACTTTTAAACAAATGAATTTGGAAGAATTTGACAAGAAGCTTAAAAGAATCTTTATTTGAAAAAATCTCTTTGAAAACGGTTCAATTCATTTTAACATTTGCCTTTGGGGAGCCAAAAAAAAAAAAAAAAAAAAAAAAAAAGAAAAATTTTTGTTTTTTAACGATGACTAACTTCTTAATTAATCTTTTATGAAAATTAATTTTTTTTNATTTTTTTTTGAAAAAAACCTTTTGAAAACGGTTGAATTCATTTTAAAATTTGCCTTTGGGGGGCCAAAAAAAAAAAAAAAAAAAAGAAAAGCAAAATTTTTGTTTTTTAACGATGACTAACTTCTTAATTAATCTTTTATGAAAATTAATTTTTTTTCTTTTTTTTGGTCGTTGATATTGCGATTATCAATGTTTTTGATGATTTCTTTTCGGGATCCAAAGTCTCGATTGATTAACTGATATGATTGATAAATCATGAACTTTGAATTATTCAAATAAAATTTAAATATAGATGACATTGAACAACGATAAATACATGATTTTGATTAGTGAATTTTTGTTTTCTTCTTTATTTAACAAGAGCAGAAAAAACCTGTTAAGAAGTTATGTTTCTATTGATAACCAGAAAAAAATTAATCAATGATATTGATGATCATTGATTAGATTGTTTTCTTTTATAATAAATATTTACAAAGTTGGAAAATGAAAAATTTCGCTTTTTATAATGTCGCATGATTGATTTTTTTTCACAAGCAAACAAAGATTTTTTTATTCATTGATTGTTTAACTTGCTTGTTTCAAGTTATTCAATATTCAAGATCCCATCACATAAACAACAACAGAAAAAAAACCCTTAATCAAACAGAACAAAAACAAAAATTTTTAAACAAAAAGTTACAGTGAATTGATAATTCAGTGAAAAAAAACCGTTTTTTTTATCTAGATCCATTTAATTATCATCGATTATCAAAATAAATCAATTATCATTGATTTATATTTTCGATTTCGACTATAGATTTATCGTCCTTTAAACCATTGGACAATCCATAGAGAAAAAAAGACCCGATGTATATAAATCGATTGAAATATCCAATATATTTTTTGATTTTTTTCAAAATAATTCAAATCAATCATCGAAAATTTTGAATTTTGATGCGAACGAAAAAAAAAATGAATCATCAACAATCAAAACTTCGTTTTGATCAAAAATTATTATTAATTTTAATTAAAAATGTTTGGATTTTACCAGCAATTATGTCGGCAATAATTATTGCTGGTTGTTTTGTACCGTAAGTTGATCAATTAAAAAAAATTTCAATTTAAAATTTTTAATTTTTTGGAAAACACACCTCGTCCATATCCATACCAGTTACATAATATCTGTTCATTATGAACGTGTTTATCCAATTTTACCGTATATAAGTGATGCTGGTGCACAATTACCTGCAGCTCCTTATTTTTCACAAATTCTAGATTTTGGTGGTGTTATTGTAATCATTGTATTTTGGTTACGTTATGTACAGATAAATTATTATCTAACAGTTATGATTGCAGAACCATCTGAATCAATAGATATAGAAAAACAATCAAAAACAACAACAATAACAACGGATAATAAAAAATTAATAAAACGCTTACATTTACGCAATATGATTTCATTGATTTTCGGTGTAATCGGTGGTTTTGGTATCATTTCGGTTGGTAATTTTCGTGATACAGAAAATCTTACATTACATAATACATCGGTAATAGTAATGGTTGCAGCATTTAGTGTTTTAATGATTGAAAATGTATGTTTTTTGATAGTTTTTTTTGGAAAAAACTTTTAAAATTTTCTATTATTTTTTTCACCACAGATAATTATAGCCTATCATTTAAATCAAAAATTTCATATTGAATCCTGTCCAATAACATGGATTATATTGAAAATTATTACATTCATTTTCACAATTAATTTACTTATTTCGTTAATCATTTTATTTAGAAAAAATCATAAAGCATTATTAGATTCAGATAAACGTGCAAATTGGCAACCAAATATGGATGGTTATCCTATACATTTATCATGTACAATCAGTGAATATATATATTTCAATGCATATTCATTAATATTTTTAATATTCGCTAAACGTTTTTATCAATTTAAACAATGGGATAAAACATTTTTTAAATATTTGTTGAATTAAATTTTATGAAAAATTTTATAAACATACCGATTGTTGAAATTATAAAAATTATTATATTTGAAAACATTGATTTTGTTGTTGTGGAATTTTAAATTTTTTTTCCAAACAACAACATCATTTTTACGAATGAATTTTTTTTTTTTTGCTTTCAATGATGAGCGTATGATAGCATTGTTGTAATTCAAGAAAAAATAAACACAAAAATATTACAATCGCAATGTATTGATATGATTCAGTGCAAACAAAACCGGTATTTGAAAAAATCCTTTTAAATTCTAGGTCCATTTAATCATCGATCATTATCATCATTATTTGATTGATATAATATTTAGAATTAGCAATGAGCAACTAAAAAAAAACATACTCAGTATATAAATCGAAGTCAATCATCAATCAATATATCATAAAAACAAAACAACATTTGAAAAAGAAAAATGAATCATCAACAATCATCAAAACTTCGTTTGGATCAAAAATTTTTATTAATTTTAATTCAAAATGCTTGGATTTTACCAACAATTATATCGGCATTATGTATTGCCGGTTGTTTAGTACCGTAAGTTGATTAATTACATTAAAAAAAATAATTAATTTTTAATTTTTAAAAATCCCATCAACATATATAATATAGTTATATTTTATCTGTTCATTATGAACGTGTTTATCCAATTTTACCATATATAAGTGATGCTGGTGCACGATTACCTGCAGCTGCTTATTTTTCACAAATATTAGATTTTGCTGGTGTTATTGCAATCACTATATTTTGGTTACGTTTTTTACAGATAAATTATTATCTAACAGTTTCGATTGTTGAACAAAATCAACAAAATTTTGAATTAGATAATATGGAAAAACAATCAAAAACAATAACGAATAATAATAATAATAATGAAAAATTAATAAAACGTTTACATTTATGTAATCTAATTATATTGATTGTCGGTATAATCGGTAGTTTTAGTCTTATATCGATTGGAAATTTTCGTGAATCCGAAAATCTTGCCTTTCATAATACATCAGTAATGATATTGGCCGGATCATTTTCTATTTTAATGATTGGAAATGTAAGTATGTTTTTTGTTTTGTCAAAAAAAAATTTACAAATTTTTTTCTCTTATCCTAAAGATAATCGTAGCATATTATTTGAATAGAAAATTTCAAATTGAATCTTTACCAATAACATGGATTATATTGGAAATATTAACACATATTGCTATATTTAATCTAATAATATCTGTATTAATTTTATTAAAAATAAATCCAAATGTATTATTAGATTCAGATAAACGTGCAAATTGGCAACCAAATATGGATGGTTATCCATTACATTTATCAAGTACAATTAGTGAATATCTATTTTTCATTATACATTCAATAGTATTTTTAATATTTGCTAAACGTTTTTATCAATTTAAACATTGGGATAAAATACTTTTTAAAATAATGTTAAATTAAACAAAAAAAAAAATTTCATATAAACATACCGATTGTTAAAATTATAAAAATTATTATATTTGAACACATTGATTTTGTTGTTGAATTGAAAATGACTTTAAACATATTTTATTTGAAATTTCGCAAAGAATTCATTCAAAATGATGAATTTGATGATTGGTTGGTTGGACGAAGACGTGTCTGATGAATTCTGTACATTTTACTTCATTTTCAATTAGTGATGATGCAAAAACAAAACAAACAAACAAAAAAAACTTTTCAACAAACAAAAAAAAAACACTTTCAAAACAACAAGTATTGATAATTGATAATGTCGATGATATTCAACACAGTCAAAATAGTGGAAACATTACTTTCGAAAAACAAAAAACAAAAAATAAAATTTTTTTTAGTTCCGATCCAGAATCGAAATCGGATGCTTTTTTTCGATTGTTGTTGTTGCTGTTGTTCACAAACACTATCCAAAAAAATGGCTTTTTTTATGCAAATGATGTTTACATTTTATTCGAATGGAAATTGAAAAAAATAAATAAAATTGAAACGATAAAAATTTTTCGCTGGTTTTAAAAAAGATTTTTTCACATAGAATTGTGGAACGTTGAGGATTGAACCAAAATGAAACAACAAAACGTTATCTTTAAAAAAAAGGAAAAAAATTTGACAATTTTTATCGAAAAAATCAAGCAAATTTTTTTTTGGTTCATTGCTTATTGTTTATCAAATTGATTTGGTACGATTCAATAGATTTTTTCATTCTTAAATCGCAATCATAAACATTTATAGATAAAGATGCAAATGTATTTTTTACGAATAAAAAAACCCGAAAACAACAGTAACATTGTATTGAAGATGATGATTGTCAATGAAAATTTTTTCGAATGAAAATTTTTCTTCATTCGATGATGATGATGATGATGATGCGCGCGATATCATTATCGCGTTCGAAACAAAAAAAAACATTCGAAATGCGCAATCGCAATTGATTTTTTTTCGGATATTAAAGGAAGTATAAACATATTTTGTCATTCGAATGTTTTGTATACATCGTGATTTGAAAATTGACAATTTTTTTTTCGTTTGGTGATCGGGAACAAACCAGAATGAAATCATCATCATAAAACGATAATCTTTACATTATTTTTCTTTTCACCCGTCGTAATGTTTTGAAATAGAATATGTTTTATTTTTTTTTGTTTGTCGAATGTCGAACCGAGAAAATATTTCCAAAACCCGATTATTCGAATGAAAAAAATTCAAATCGATACTATCGATACTATGAATGTATTCGATTGATGTTTGCAAAAAAAAATAATATCCAAATTTTTTGTTTTGTTTTGTTTTGTTCCTGGTCATTTTCACTATGAAATGAGCCAAAAGAAAAAAAAAACATTAGTTGAAGCGGAAATTGTAACCCGAAAACCGAAAATATTCATTCAAATTTTTTGTTGTTGATATTCTTTTGTCCCGAAAATCAAAATGATGTCAAAATTTATTTGATGCTTTGAAAAAACGAAGAATGACGGATGTTGATGCTCATGATTATCATTGATCATTGCCATCATCGAATCAAATCAAATGTTCAAATCTTGAAACTTTACCCAAATCATAATTTTACTATGACTATTTGTCAATCGATTCATATCGTTCATTCATTTCATTGTGATTCACTCAATTCAATTCAATTCCGATTCCAATTTGTGCCCGAAAAAAATTCTGTTTTCATTCTGAAAAAGTTATATTTTTTTTCTATTTCCCGAATTTGATAACATAGAAAAAAAAATCTGAAAACTTTTTCGAACACACGGGAATAATTTTCCAAATGATAATTTCATATTTTCTCAATCAATGGTGATGATTAGATAATTTCTTTTTTGGTAAATTACTTTTCATCACATCATATATATAATTATCCGATTGATGAAGCATAGAGAAAAAAGGTACGGGATGATTATTGCAAAACTTATTATTATTATTATTATGTTTTTGCTTTTTGTAATTAATTAATCTGATAATTTGTATTTGGACAAAATTATAGGAAAAGGAGATTTGAACCATATATGAAATTTAATTCCATCGAAATAATAATCCAAAAAAAAACATGAAACAAGAAGAAACAAGCAAAATTCAATTAATTTTCTTCAAGAAACAAAAGCAAGAAGAAGAAAAAATGAAATTAGAAACAAAGAATAACAAAAAAAAAATTCTCGAATAAATTACCCAATCATTTTTTATGATTGGATAATTGGATTGTTTTGGATTGGCATAAAACCAACTTAACTTGACTAAAATTTTATTCGTTTTATTCGTTTCTGACCAAATAAACGATAAAGAGAAATTCTTTATTCTCAAAAAAGAATTTCCAAGAATATCGATGGATACAAGAAAATTTCTACCATCACCAACAACATCATCTGCAAATAAAAATCAATCACAATTACAACAACAATCGAATCGAATTACAGCAGCAATAGCTAATACGTTAACAAATTTAACAACAACAACAACAAATAAACAATCAAAACAACCAAAATTATCAATATCATCAACATCACCACCACCATCAACGACAACAACAACAACGGCAACGACAAAATCAAATGTTGATGATTATAATGAATTATTTTCATTGGACATGAAAAATTTAATGAAATTACAAACAAATAATGTTTGTGATAATCATTGTTTTCTAATAATTTGTCAACGTAATACTAGTAAAAATAGTAATGGTCATATTATGTTACGTAGACAAAATGTATTTTTTCCTTGTTTACCAATAAATCAATTAAAAACATGGTCCGAATCATCAATCGAAGCTGTATTAAGTTTATTATTACCAACAGATATTTATAATAATCAACAACGTTTAACAGAATTTATAAATGATATACCATTTCGTCGTTTTGTTTGTATGGATATATTTCGTATACAATTACCACATACACAAAATTTTATAACACGTTTAATTTATTTGGTCGAATTGGATCCATCAAATACAAAAATTATATGTGGTTGTTGTTCAAGTCGTCAACAACAACAATCGGTTGTCGGTATTTCAAATACATATCGTTGGTATCCAATTAATGATGCAATTTCAAGAAAAATTTTTAAAATTTGGGGACCAGAAGTTAGTTTTTATACAAATATTGCTATGGAAGCAATAAATTCAAGTCAACCATTTGTTGATTCAACTGCAACTGAATATAGTTTAAGTGATGCATTTAAATATGTACCACGTGAATCACCAATTACAATGGAAGAACAAATGTTAGGTCAAACAAATATTACTGTTAATGATATTGAACGTTTATATGCCGATTTTATTGAACATTGTTTTCCAAGTTTTTTTTTCACAAAATTTTCATTCGATGTTTATATGAAAAAACATCAAATCGAATCAAATTCAATAATTATATCAAGATATTATGCTGCATTTCGTTTTCGTGAAAAACAATATATGCAATTTCATGAATTATTATTAGGTTTAGCTGCTATTGATTATCGTTCACCTGATGAAGAATTTCGTCATCGTTTTATATTTCGGTATGTTTTGATTTGTTTGATTTGTTTGATTTTTTCATTTTTTTTATTTAAAATTTTTCTTTCAAAAAGATTCTATGATTATACACAAGATCATTATCTAAATTTTCAAGAATTTGAACGTGTTATTCGTGATTTAGAACGTGTAAATGACATTAAATCACCAATGAATGAAATTGATATACATTCGTTGATGAGAAAAATCGGTACCGTATTGCTCAATGAAGAAGAAATGTTAAATTTTGAATTATTTCAACAAGGTATACGAAAAAATTTAATACGTGGAACGCATAATTTATGTCGATCAATTGTATCACCATTTGGACAGATAACTAGATCGTTAGCCACAAGAAAATTATGTTCAACTGTATCGAATAAAAATCTTTATAATATTTGTTTGAATCGTCGTTATAAATCAACATGTAAAAATTGTAAACTTAAAAAATTTGATATATCACCCGATCTAGTTGTATTAGATTATCGTGGTCATCTAAAAGCCATTCATCGTGTTACTGATCAAACGAAAAAATCATCGTTAAAAAAAATATCACCAGCTGAAAAAGCATTCGATCCAAATTCATTAATGTATTTTATTTTGCAAAAAATACGTGAATTTAATAAGGAAAAAAATCAAGCACAAAATTTACGTCGTACTGGTGAAATTGGCCTGTTCAACAATCTGAATCGTAAAGAAACACAAACATTTTGTGAAGATTTTCGTATTATTTGTACAGAAGTAGCTAAAATATTAGAACGTGAAGATCGTGTTCTAAGAATTAAGGATCCATGTTATGTAATTGGTGATATTCATGGTAATCTTGAAGATCTATTAACAATGGAACAATGTTTATGGAAAAGTTTTCCATTATTAACAGCAAATTATCTATTTTTGGGTGATTATGTTGATCGTGGTCGTTGGGGTTTTGAATGTTTTTATTATCTATTAATAGTAAAATATTTATGTCCAAATCGTATATTTTTATTACGTGGTAATCATGAAATCGAATGTATACAGATAAAATATTCATTTCATAAAGAATTATTGAAAAAATATGGTCAAAATATGGGACAACAATTTTTCGAAATTATTAACGAAGTTTTTAGTCGTTTACCATTTGCTGCTGTTGTGAATGATTCAATTTATTGTGCACATGGTGGTCTACCTTGTTCGGAACAAAATCTAACCGTTTTAAATCGTGAAATGCCAAAAATTATTCGTGATCCAGAAAATGAAGCAACACCAGTTTGGGAATTAGTTTGGAGTGATCCATTAGAATTTGCTAAATTTGGTGAACAAGCTGAATTATTGGGTTTATCACCCGGATTTATGAATGGTTTTTTTCTACCGAATATCAAACGTGGTACATCATTTTTTTTCAACGAATATGCTGTTATTAAATTTTTTAAAGAAAATAATCTTAATTTTATGATTCGGGCACATGAAGTACCGGCACCGGGTTATAAATTTAATTTCGGTACACTTTGTACAACAATATTTTCCTGTTCACATTATTGTGGTAATAATAATGAATGTGCTGTTGTTTTTGTTGATCGTGATTCACGTTTACGTATTTTACGTATCGATACATCAACAAATCAATCAGCTAATTAATTAATTGAATAATTTTTTTTACTTTTAATCGAGAATAAAATTAACAACGAATTTTTTAAAATAAAGTTTTCGAATCATTTTGAAATAAAATATACATGCATGTACTATATGAACAGCATCGGCCGATCTGTTTTTTTTGATGCATGCATTTTTTCTGTTTTGTTTTATTTTGTTGAAATTTTTATTTTTAAAAAGCAGATAAATTTCATCATGGCCAATAATGATGATGATGATGGTTTTATTAAATTTGAAATAACCGATCAAGATTTAGAATTTGGTCAAGGAAATCATCGTTCAAAACGAATGACTAAAAATCAGGCTATTTATGGTATGGTATTATTTGAAAATTGTAATCTTTATTTTCCTCATTTGTTCTATTTTTTTTCCTTAAAAAAACCAAGGAATATGGGCTGAAAGTGAAAGCGATGATGATGATGGAGATAAAAAACAACGAAAAAAACGTACCGATTATACATCTTCGGTTAGTTTTGTCAAAAGTGATAAAAAACTTCAAGATGAAGTCAAAGATAGAAAACCATCATCATCGAAAACGAATGAATCTTCAAGACAAACACATTCGAAAAAGAAATCAACTAGATTCAGTGGATTAGGTAAGTGGTTATCATTCAACAAAAATCAATATTGATCATTGTGAAATTATTGTTTTTAAGGTTCAGCACCATTATCATCATCAAACGCAGATGCTGACTTTGGACATTGGGAAATGTATACCAAAGGTGTTGGTAGTAAATTATTGCAAAAAATGGGTTATCAACCAGGAAAAGGTTTAGGTAAAAATCTCCAGGGTATAATCGAACCGATTGAAGCGAAAAAAAGACCCGGTACTGGATCGATTGGTCTTTATGGTCCTGAAACGACGGCAAGAAAATTACGAAAAGGTGTTGAGGATGATGATGATGATGATGATTCCGAACAAAAAGATCAACATAATAATGAGAAAAAATCTATCAACGAAAAAGATTGGAAACGTAATGATGGAATGAAAAAAATCAAAACAATAAAAGTTTATGAAAAATCAACCGATGATATTATTCGTGATAGTGTTAAAAAATCATGGTCAAATCAAAATGATGATTATCTAACTGGTATGAAAATTATCGATATGACTGGACCACAACAACAAATATTATCCGGTTTGACCAAACTTCATCAATCAAAACCGATCAAACCAAAAGATGATTATCGTATAACTGAATTTAATACTCGATTTGATATACCAGAATTACGACAAAATATGGAACGACTGATAATGTTATCGGAAAAAAATCTAGTTAAAAGAAAACGTGAATATGATCGTAATTGTAATCAAATTGAAAATCTAAACGAAGAACGTGAACGTTTGATTGGATTGGATAATGTTTATCAACGACAATTAAAAACAATACAGGCAATCGAAACATTTATCGAATCATTGGAAGAAACGAAACATGATCTATCATTTGAAAAAGGATTGGAAAATTTTGAAAATTTTTTCACTAAATTTTCTACCGAAGAAAATGATGAACTAAAACGACAACTTCGATCATTAAAATTCGATACAATTATTAAATCAGTATTTGGACCGATAATTCGTCGTGAATTACGAACCTGGCATCCATTCGATAATTTTGCCATGGATTATTCTGGTCATTTTGAGCGATTACGTTCATTAATATTGAAATCAAAAACATTTGAATTAATATTATGGCAATATTGGTTACCAATTGTTAGTCGATCTATGCAAACAATTTCATTGAAAATACAATTTGAATCGATTATTGCATTTGTTGAAAAATGGCAAAAAATATTACCCAAATGGTTATATGAATATTTTATTGCTAATAGTTTATTACCAAAAATGCGTTCCGAAGTTGATGATTGGAATCCATTAACCGATACAATATCGATACATTCATGGATTCATCCATGGCTTCCAGTATTGTTGACAACAAAAACTTCCACCAATAATAATTCCGAAGATGAATTAAATTTTCTATTCGAACCAATCTATGAAATAATACGTTCAAAATTATCAAATGCATTAAAAAATTGGCATCCAAATGATTGTTCAGCAAGATTAATATTAGAACCATGGAAAAATGTATTTAAAGAATCATCGATGCAATCATTTTTAGAACAAAATATTGTACCAAAATTAGAACAAACAATGCAACAATGGCAACTAAATCCTAATCAACAATCATTAAATGAATGGAATTGGCTAATACAATGGTCATCATTATTATCATTGAATACGATTGTATCGATTTTGGAACGTACATTTTTTCCTAAATGGCTTAATGTTCTATATGTATGGTTAAATTCAGGTGTTGCAAATTTTCAAGAAATTAGTAACTGGTATCAAGGTTGGAAAACATTAATGGGTAATGATCTTATTAATCATATTATTGTAAAAGAATTTCTACGTAAAGCATTAATTATGATGGATCATGCTGTTAATCTGGAAACTGGATTGAAAAGTTTTATTTCCTATTATGATCCAAATGTTAATATTCATAATCAACAACAGCAACCGTCGACGACAACTGCAACGGTGCCACAAACACCACAGCAACCACCACCACAATCATCGATTATTGATGATCAAATAAATTTCCGTCAAATGATCGAAATGAAAGCGGCTGAAAATGGTATAATATTTATGCCATTAGCTAATCGTTTTGAAAATGGTCATCAAATATTTAAATTTGGTTCATTTTTAATCTATATCGATAATCGTGTTATATTTCAGAATCGTTTTCAAAATGGTCAACGTTTATGGTTACCTGTTGCACTTTCCGATTTACTTTCAAATCAAGTTTGATTTTTCTTTAGAGAGAACTGTAAATAGATTTTTATAAAATAAAAATTATTTATTTCAAATATCAAATTGTTATCATCAGTTATTTAGTTAGTTAGTTAGGATCAAATTATTGAAAAAAAAATGGGAAAAGAAAGTTGTGTAATCGATTGATAAGTTTATCATTTTTTTTTCTTTTTAAGAAATTGGAGCAAGAATAAAAACAACAGCAACAACAACGAGGGTCAAAAAAAAAAATTTTTCAATAAATTGTTTTGGTTTATTCATCATCAGAATCATGGATGATCTGATTATCCACGTCGAAGATTTTCTAAACGTGCTTGTAGATCAGCATCAGCATCATCTAATGGTGCACCACCACCGCCACCAACACCAGCACCTCCTCCACCAGGAGCACCACCAATGCCAACACCACCGGCACCAATAGCTACTGGACCTTGTTTACTTTTAGCTTTTTCTGAATTTAATGTGCTATTTGCAGTTGGTAGATCACTTAATTTTTGATTTAATTGTACACCTAATTCATCAAGAATCTGTGACACAACAGCATCCGATTCTTCTTCATCTTCTTCATCACCAATAACATCATCGATTACATCGCTCATCATCTCTTCTTTCATATCCATCATGTCGGATTGTTTTTCAAAATCCTGCATAATACGTTGAATTTGTGGTAGATTCATTTGACGATTCATTGATTGCATTGCTTTTGTTACGCCACGCATTGCTTGTGCCATTGCATTCTGTGATCGTAATGTTTGTATTTTCAATGATACGGCCTGTATATTTGCACGCATCATAATGAATTTTTTTACATAACGTCTGGTACGAACTAAATCTTTGGCCATAATTTTTACGGCATCCATTTGATTATCTTTAGCCATTTTTTTAATATCCGATATTAATTTTTTTTCTTGCATTTCCATTTTACTGCGTTCACGATCAAGATCACGCATCGCTTTGTTAAGGGCACGTTGATTTTGACGCATCATTTCTTCGGGCGTCTTACGTTTACCGAATAACCATTCCATTTTTGATTGATTGATTCAGTCTAACTTTTTTTTCGCTGATATTTTTAAAGACACGATATTATAAAAAAGATCACAAAATGTTATTGTTGTCGTTTTGTTGTTGTTGCTGCTGACGATCCAAAAAAAAAAACATTCGATGAAAACAATTGAAAACGTTCATAAAGTACGTTTTGGACAAAATAATTTTTTTCAAATTTTTTTTATGGAATTCAACAGATGATACTTGAATTGAATTGAATCCTGCAATCGCAATCTGCTTTTTAATTTGAAAAACAATTTCAACAAAAAATTTATTCAAATTTCAATCATTGATCATCAATTTTTGATCATCACACCAACACAAATCAGATTTTACAAAAAAAAAATCTCAAGAATGAGATTCATTTTTTAACCCATAGTCATAGCTGAATGATGCAACATCTAACATCACTTAGACTATTTCGTTTAATTGTGCAACCCTTTTATTAAATTTTTTAAAAAAAATTGGGCCGATCCTGGAGGTAAGTGCAATTCCAGGCCAACCCGTGGCAAAGGTTGAGCACAGCTCACACACTTCGCCTACCTACAAAAATTGGTTTAATATCTTGACCCTCGATGAGAGTCGTATCAGATATTAAGCTGATAAGAACAGATACTACACTTTTGATCTTAGCCAAAAAGGCCGAGAAGCGATAACTTTTGGTTAGTTCCATATGGAATATTTGAATTATGAACAACATTATTTCAATTACAGTTTGTTTAAATGACAAATTCATTTTTTCTTAATTCAATTTCAATTAATTTGAATAAAAATGATCATTTTTCATTTGATAATAAGTTTTTTCAAATATTTTTGCATAAATTTTTTCAAATCAAATTAATCGAATGAAGGATTAATCATTATAATTCATTGTAAAGGTCAATCTATAATCAATGACGTCATTCAAAAGGGTGTAGATTCCCCATTTAAAAAAAAAAAACCACGATCACAGCACCATCTAGTAATAACAATTTGAAATTCAGAAAAAATTCAAAATTCATTAATTAATTAATTTTATTATTAATATTTACAAAATTTGTAAATGTGTAGTGTGTGTGTGTGCATCAATTGATCATTTGTTTAGGGGAGAGATTGACATTTTATAATTATTTTTTTGAAACGGGCCAAAAAGATGTAAAGATCAAATGATGATGATGAATTGATAATTGGGAAAATTATTGATTTTGAAGATTTGATTGTTTTGAAAATTGATTGATTGAAACAGTATGTACGAGTGTGTGTGTGTGTGTGGATAGAATATTCTGTTGTTGTTGTTGTTGGTTTTTATTTATACACAAGAATCTTTATCTTCAGAAAAGAATCATTATCATCCACATTTATATTAATCAATTAGAAAAATAAAATAATAATTTTTTTTGTTTCTCTTATTTTTTTCATTTCATTCAAATGTATTTTTTTTTTTTTGAATGAAAGAATTTCCAATAATAATTAACAATTAATAATTAAAAAAGAAAACGACAAGACAAGTTTTACATAGGCCGTGTATGTGTGTGTGTGTTTGGTTGATGTTTGTTTGTTTAAGAATGAAATGATAATGACATCATGATGAATTGGATTGATTGAATTTTGGATGGGAATCGAAGAAAAAAAAAATCAAATTATAGTTGTTGTTGGTGGTTATGGTGGTGGTAAAAGCAAAATAATCCGAATGTGAAGATATTTTTAAAACAATTTTTGTTTTTTTTTTTAAACGAAATTTTGAAATGATAAAAATTATTGAAATTTTTTTCTCTCTCTTTGTTTTCAATTATAGCAGCATCATTAGTAGATATTTTTTTTCAACATCATTATCATCATTCTTTCAAATCGCTGTTGTTGTTGGTGAAGGCCGTTGATTTTGTTTGTTTGTTTTTGCATTCGAAATCAAATCAATTAGTTTAATTAATTAATTAAATAATTAATAATTTTTTTAAAAAACAGGTTTTCTTTTAAAAAAAATTTGATTTGTTTTTGATTGCCCATTTCTCATCTTCTTTTTTTCGTTGGTTGCTGTTGTTGTTGTTGTCGGTGATGACAAAAATGATTTGGCCATGAATTAGATTGATTGATTGATGATCTATTTTGTTGAAACAAAAAACATTATTGATAAAATAGTAAAAGTTGAAGATGATGATGATGATGAATTATCAGTGTGTGTCTTGCTGTGTGTTTGTCGATGATTTGAATTTTTCCTCAATTCCATCTTGATATTTTTGTTTTCTTCACTGTGTGGGTGGTGTTTGTTTGTGTAGTTTTTTTTCACATTTTTTTTGCATTCACGAATAATAATTCATTTCAATCATTTCCTTAACGATTTGACCTTTTTCTTTTTGCAAAAACAACAACATCTAATTTAGTTTTTGTGTCAAGAAAAAAAAGAAGAATAAAACAGAAAAAATAGTTTAATTAGTTAGTTGATTTGTTTTTTTTTGTTGTTGAAAAATTTCATTATAAAAAATTCATTTTATTTACTTAGTTTCCGAAACAGCATCAAGCTCAATTGGGCCAGTAATTGGCGTATTTGAATGACCAGTAACAGGATCATCATTTGTGAGATCACCATTTGTTGAGCTAACAACTTGAACAGAACCACCGCCCAAGCGTTCAGTTGATTGAAGACCCGATGAGCCTAATAATTTTACACCACCTGGATTTGTATTGCTCATTGGTATACGAATACGATCATTTGGATCACGATTATTAGCATTATTGCCAGATTTTTCCGGTAATGGTTGTCGTTCGGACCAGGCATTTTTACTACGATCCGATTTGTTTACATTTGATTGTTGCTATATATTTCGTTTCAATCATAAAAACAAACAAACATATCGGACAAAAAAAATAATAAGAAATTCAGACAATCAATCATTATTATATAGATTGGCAAACATTCAAATAAAATTCATTCATTACCTTCAAGTGTGAGGAAAGATGTCGATCTCTTACTGAAATTCTTGGTTCCATCATTTGCATCTATGAAAAAAAAAACATTAGCAAAAATTAAAAAAAAAAATTCAATTCTAACCTGTTGTTGTTGTTTTTCAGTCCAATCATAAATTCCATCATTTTTATGTCCTTCACGATCAAATAATTTAACAAATAGATTACGTAAATATTCATAATCAGGTTGTTCGAAAAAATCCAAACGACGAACATAACGAAGATAGGTAGCAAATTCTTCCGGATATCCTTCACAAAGTATTTCAATCGGTGTCGATTGTTTTGTTTCACCAATTTTGGCATAACGTTCTTTTAATGTATCAGCTTTTAGACCTTGCCATGGAAGACTACCACGTAAAAAATACATAAACATATGGCCAATTGCTTCAAGATCATCACGTCTACTTTGTTCTAAAAAAAATCCAATCAAATGAATTGATTAATTTAAAAAAAAACACAGGATTTTTGTTTTGCTTTGCTTACCTTTCCCAAGATGAGTATTAATACTCATATAACGTGCCGTACCAGTTAAACTTTTATGCTCTCTATATGGTATATGTTTTCCAGTTTCTGGATCAATATATTCTTTGGCTAAGCCAAAATCAATTATATGTAATACATTTGCTTTACGTGAATTTGGTTTGCCAAGTAGAAAATTTTCCGGTTTTACATCACGATAAATTAGATGTTTTGAATGAACATATTCTATCCTGGTAAGCTGTATTTTCGTTAAACAAAAAAAAACAATAATCAAAATGATAATAAATAAAAACGATAACATACAATTTGTAATGCGATTTGTATAACGGTTTTCACTGAGAATTTACGATCACAGAGATCAAACATATCTTCAAGGCTTGGACCAAGTAATTCCATAACCAATGCATTATATTTTCCACATGAACCAAAATAAAATAATTTCGGTATACCTTCTATCAACACCATTTAAAGAAAAAAAACAGGTATTCATTAGTATCATCGAAAAAAACAAAAACAGAAATGAAAAAAAAACATACCAACATTGCCCAGAATTTTATAGAAACGAAATTCTAAATGTAATTGTGGTGCTTTTGATTTCATTGGCTCCAATTTAATCGCTACATGTTCATTATTATAAAGATTTTTACCTATTTTTTTTTGAAGAAAATTTTCAACAAAAAACAAATATTAACAAATTCGTTTCAATCCAAAAAAATAACTAACCTAAACGAAGAACACCAAAATTTCCACGACCAATTTCTTTACCAACTTTGAAATTTGGTCCAACCATCATAACAGCATCTGAACTATTGTTCGTACTAGACGAACTACGACTTTGTGATGAATGCATTATTTATTTAGATTATATTTGAATATTGCACAAACACAGATATTTGCAATATCGAAATTTAAGATTTGTTTTTCGTTGTTGTTGTTGTTGTCTTTGTTTTTCAATATTTAAACAGACAAGATGAAAAAGTGACAAAATTATTTGTGTAACAAATCTTAAGATTCAAATATCCAACAACAGGAAAAAAACCAGAGAGTTGATCTCTTTGTGCGAGTGGTGTGTGTGTGTTTGAATGTTATTGATCTTTTTTTCTCACCACACACTCACACACACCACACAATCAGACAAACACACACAGACAGTCTTGGTTGATTGTAAAAAAAAATTCTTATGGAAATTATCGATGAATTTGCTGTTGTTGTTATTGAATGAAATGAACAGAAGAATGATTGATTGATTATAGATGATGAAATATAAATAACTATAGCCAAAAAAAATACAAAATGTAATGAAATTCATATGGATAAAGAAATATATATTGTGTACTTACCAGGAAAATAACTAAACAAACAAACAGATAAACAAAATGGATAACGAAATGATGATGATGATGATTTGTTGAAGATTATCGTTGATGCGTTAAGAATTAATCAATTCTTTTTTTCCAAAAAAAAAACATTAAGAATTCAATAATGATGATGATGATGATTCGATAATAAAAGCCATTTTTTTCATCATCAAGAAAAATTGATTGATTAATTGATCGGAATTAAGTGATGAAATTTTTGTTGTTTTTTTTGGTTCAATCTGTATGAATCACGATTCTTTTGTTGAAAATATGTATGGCGTGTGTGTGTGAGCTTGTATTAATTAATTAGAAAAAAAATTAATTAAAAAATAAAAAATAAAATCAGGATAAAATCAAGGAGCCATATACAACAACAATAAGAGGTATACAATAATATATTATCATCATTATTGGTAATAGTGTTGTTGTATAGTGTGTGATCTGTGTTGATGGTTGATCTGGGTGATAATCATAATCATCCAACAACAAAAAAAAATTATTATTAAATCAAATGAGTGAGTGAAAAAGAGAAAGAAAAAAAAATAGTGAAAAGCAAGTATAGTAAAAATTGTCCTAATGAAAATGATGTGGTGAAATAATCATGATCCATGTCGTCGTCGTTTGATTTGGTTTGATTTGATCGATGTCAATTCAGGAGAAAAAAAAAGTTAAAAAAAAAATTAATTTTTTTGAAATTTCAAAATCAATCAATTTTTGTTTTACCTAAGATTTGTTTTTTGAAAGTTCGATTTTTTTCAGTATTGACGATATGATTTTTTTTTTGTTTTGTTTTGTTTGTTTCGAATGAAGGAAAAAAAACAGTAACAAATTTTAGAAAATTTGATTCAATTTTTTTTGTAGAATCCAGAATCTTTTATTTATTAAAAAAAACACAGAAACACAATGAAAATTGGATTCAATTTGATCAATCAATCAACCAACAACAACAACACAACGAAAAGGCACAAAAGTTGATCATTTGAGAGTGAATAGAAAAAAAAATTGAAATTGATTCTTCTCTGGTTGTTTAGAATTGAATATCATTTCTTTTTTGTTTATTTTAAAAATAAAATGATACCTGAAAAAAAAGAATAAAGAAAATTAATGATTGAATAAAAATAAAGTTCAAAGTTCAATATAAAATACCATTGATTATCAGAAATTTTTCAATCAGAGAAATGATTTTTGTGATGAAATTGGCTTCACAATTTTTTTTTGTATTTTGTTTTGAAACATAGGATTAATGAGATTGATATTGTCGTTATTTCATCTATATTTTTGGTTGTAATTCACCTTTGTTTTTGTTTTTTGTTGTTTTGTTTTTGTTGTTCATATTCCTCTCATCCTATATCTCTTTTTCTCTCGCCACCATCAAAACTCTATCATTATTATCATCATCATTATCACCATCATAAATAAATATTTTCTTTTTAAATAAAAATTTTTTTAAAAAACCCAATGATGATAATGATGTTTTTTATTTGTTGAAAGAAAAAAAAAGATAATCAAAAAAAATGTTTCAATTCAATTTTCAATCAACAACACAGACATATACAGGGCATTATACATATGCGGCCTCGCCAAAAAAAAAGATCATATACACAACATAGACACACGCATACAACAACATCAACAAAGATCAGAGCTCGAATCGAATCATCATCATCATCATCATCATCATCATCATCATTGGTTAAAGACAGACAGACCGACACATTGAGTGATATATAAAAATAAATGCTAGCAGTATTTTATCAATTTTTGATTGGTTAATTTTTTGTTGTTGTGAGTATTATGAATGAATATATGAAAAGGAGGAGGATGAGGAGGAGGAAGCAAAGAATATTATCATTTTTTTCTTTTTTTACGTTAAGTTTTAGTCATAATCGATTGTTTCGAATATCTATCAATAACAAAAAATTGTTCCGTATATTTATTATGCTAAGTAGCAGTGGTCAAGATAAATGTTGATTTTTATCGAAAAAAAAACATATGTTTAACAGTGATTTTTTCCATTGTGACAACAACCGAAAAAAAGACAATAGCAGGAAAAAAAAATACCAATCAAAAAATTGTTTCGGGAATGGCAAACGTAACCGTAACCTAACTCCAAACAAATGAAAAAAACAACGAATGAGCCGATACCGGAGGATTTTTCATTGGAAAACGTTAAAAATGAATGAGGGTGAGAAATGAAAGAAGAGAAATTGAGTTTGGGGAAAAAGGGGAGGAAAAAATACAAGACCGAATAACAACCGAATCACAAAGGTGAAACTTGTTAAATGGTTGTTGTTGTCGTCATCATCAATCGTCGTCGTCGTCGTCGTATTCGTCATCAAACAACAACAAAAAAAATTGGTTTAGGTTCATATCCAATGTTGTTGCTCTTTGCACTTTTTTTATTATTTGAATACAGAAAAAAAAGAAAGAAAATATTTATCCTTATGGTCGTCAGAGTGAGCTCGATCCATTTGTTCAATTGATTCGATTGGATTTGATTTAAATATTTGAAACAAAGGAAACAAAATTTCAATATCAAAAATAAATCTTTTTTGGCAATTTTTTTCAAAGGTTTTTCATCTGTTTCATTAATTCTTCCAATGAAACATCATTATTCGATGTTTGATTTGTTGTTGTCGATAATTCATTTTCATTGTTAGATGTTTGTCGTGTTTCATATGCATAACGAATACCTTCAGCAACATTTGTTTGATCAATCGATTCAATATTTGATTCATCAATTACCGAAATATTCCATTCATTATCATCATGTTCGATAACATCTTCTTTGTTATCATGGATTTTTGATTGTTCTGATGATGGTTGATTAAGTTGTTGTTGAATATATTCTTTTTGTCGACGACAACAATTCGAATCATCACAATTTGGATTTGGTTTCATTGACATTTGTGGAAAAAAATCATTTAATGCATTATAGCCAAGATAATGTGTAACATCACCAAATTTTAGTAAAAATTTTAATGAATTTTGTACAAGAAATCCGGCAATAATACCCATTGTTGTTGGTAAACTTGCAGCACAAACACCTTCTTTTTTCAATGTTCTTTCATCGATTTTCGATGCAACAATCAATGGTGGTGCACACTTCAAAAAGTGGGAAAATATTGAAAAAATTATAGCAAGGACATGAAAAAAAACAAAAAGAAAAACTTACAGCAAAACAAGCCGTAACACCCGGTTGGATGAATTGTATATGACCGGAAACAGCATTTTCCGAAACACCAGATTCAAACCATGTTTGTTTTAATTCATTACAAGCTTGATTGATTGCCATTCTTGCTTCAAAATTATCAACACAACTTAATACTAAATCTACAGGACCATTTTTAAGATTACCGGTCAATAATGTTTGCATAAAATGATCAAAATTATCAACAGTTGTTATATTATAATTATAAATATCAATTTTAACATCTGGATTAATAAATTGTAATGTTTCACGTGCTGCATGAACTTTACTTTGGCCAGATTGATTTGGTTGAAAAAATAATCGATTCATATTTGCTAATTCAACTTTATCATAATCGAATAATATTAATTTACCAATACCACAACGTGTAAGCATTTCGGCTGTTACACTACCGACACCACCAATACCTACAATTGCAATGGTAAAATTACGAATTTCCTTGCAAAAAATAAAAATAAATTTAGCTAGCTAAAGATTTTTTTAAATTCATCATTCAAAAAAAATACCTCATAATTTTGAACAATTCCCATTCGTTTTAATGCCATTAAACGGCTATATGGATTCGAATCATTAACAACATCGCTCATCTGTTCGATTTTTTCACGGCCACTGCCAACATTTTGTTTGGAACATTTTAACAATTCCAATTGTTGTTCCAATTTTTGTATCTGTTCTTGAAGTTTTTCAATCGTGGTCATTTTAATGATGATAATTTGGAATGATTTGTTTTTTGAAATGAATGTGATGTGGCAAATCGTGTTTGTGTGTGTGTGTGTGTATAACGTGAAACAAACAGCGCCGAATCGTTATTTTTTCTCAATCAAAGACAGATGTTGTCGAGGATACAAAATGATCAGGTGTTGATCATTCTCATTCGAATATTGATCCAGTTTTTTTTGTTACATCACATAACATCATTTATGAAAGGAATCGAATTATTCTGCGCCACTTTTCTCCCCCTTCTCCAGAATTTGTGTTTGACGCATTATCCACGAGACACATTCGATCGATTTTGAATTAAGAAATTTTCTTTCGAAATAAAATTTTCATTTTTAGATTAAATCATTTCAAAAGATTATGCAATGACCTGTGAAATACTAATCAGTATAAGTTTAGGTGATAATTTTCCACTAAAAGATGATTATCTACTTAAAGAATGTAAAACGAATGCAATTTTGGAGGCAAAATTTAATGATGAATTATTACAAAGTGATCCAATTGAAATTGATTCAATAAATCCCGAATTAGCAACCGAATTAGGTTTTCGTATTAATCGTAAAGATTTTCATCAATTTCGTACCGAACGTAAATCAATAAAATTACAATGTTTTGTTGAATATTCTACACAACCAACAGATGAACAACGACATTTTATCGGTTATGTTGTATTACATTTACGTGATGCACAAGATTATACTCAACAACCAAAATATAAATGGGTTGTATTATTGAATCCAAAATATAAAGGTTCATCATCAAAACGGCCACAATTATATCTAGCATTGATGGTAAATAAAAATGAAAATAATGAAATTACTACGCCAATCGCTGCTAATATTGATAATATGGAAACATCATTGGAAATATCATCATCATTACAATGTAATCAATTTAGTCGTTCGATTAAAAAAGAAGGTAAATCATATTTTTTGGATTCAATAATGATGAGCTACAATGATTTTAATACAAATTTGGCAATCGAAATAACAAATAAATGTGTTTATATTTGGAATAAAAATATCTGTGATAAACATGATTGTCAACAGATATTTACTATTCATATACATGTTAATCGTCCAAAAAATTTGAATAATTTATTATTATCAACAAATCTGGAATCAACAATCGATAAACAACAACAACAACGACAAGAATATTTTTTTCGTTATGTTTTATTTGGTAAACAAATTAAAACCGATTCATTTAACGATATTCATGATTGTCAAGATTTTCATCCACATAAATATTCAATAAATTTACAAACATTTAATAAAGATATGTTACAAGAATATTTTGAATCATATCCAACTATTGAAATACAATTTTGTTCATCATCAAATGAATTAATTGGTTTTGTTACTATAAATTTATTGAAATTATTTCAACAAAATAATGCATTTATATATGGAAATTTTGTTATCGTACCGGAAGAAGAATCTGTTTATGTAAAAGATCCATTTCCAATTATTAATTTACGTTTGTTTATGTTGAATCAAAATCAAAATGAAACATTTGTTGAACGTCCAATTGATTTTATTAATCATTATTATATTGCTATTGATCTTCGTACCATACAATTAAGTTCAACAAATAATGAATGTCAAATATTATTTCAACCATTTTATCTACAATTTTCATATGCATTTTTCGGTGCAACCGATCCAATAAAAACATATCCATCTATAAGATTTTTGCGTGAATCACCTGAACAACAAATAACAATACCACATGGTTTTTGTGGTTTTAATCTGGCAACTACTTATGAAAAACTCCTCTATACATTTGAAAATCTACCTCTTATTATACAATTAATTTTAGATGAAGATAATACACTGCTTGGTACAAGTGAAATTGATTTAAAATGTTTATTGAAAAAATCTTCAACAAATCAAGATGATAATAATTCAATAATCAATGAATCAAATAATGATACTAATGATAATAATCGAATATTGAATGATAATTTTATTCAAATTGATGCTGCCGTTTATGATGAATTAAGTGATCAAATTTGTGAAATGCAAGTGATAATGTTTATACAGGAATTATTTGATACCGTCCATGATGATGATGATCATGATTCATCATCAACAAAAGCATTTATTCAATCACAAAAATCAAAAAAACATTCCATCCCTAATCGATCACAACAACAACAATCGATTGCTCAACAACAACAAAAACGATCAATTGAAGCATCAAAATCATCGATAATGACACAATCATTATATAATGATTCAGAATTATTTGAATCATCATCATCATCAAAATCCAAACAACAAATCGATCTGATTGAAAAAGAAAAACAATTAAATTTATTATTGAAAAAATTAGATGAACGTGAAAGAATTTTATTTGAACAGGAAAAAATTTTAGATCAAAAACAAAAACAATTTAATAATATGAAATATATGAATCAAGAATCGGATTTAGAATCTGTTTTGAATAAAGTACAATTAGATTATGAAGAAAAAATTAATCAATTAAAAATAAAAATAAATTCATTAGAACAGGAAAAATTTCGTTATCAAGAAAAAAATTATCAATTAGAAAGAAAAATGAAAGAAAAAATTTCCAAAATTCGTGAATTAGAAGCTAAAGTTTTTGAATTAACACAATTAAATAAACGTAAACAACAACAACAACAAGATCATACGGCAATGACAACAAGTATGGCAACGATTAATAATAATAATAATAATCCAAGACGTATTGTTATACAAAGAGATTTTCAACCATCATCCGAGTAAGTTTTGTTTTTATTTCATTTTTAAGTAAATTAATTTTTTTTAATTATTATTTAGAAACATTGAATCAAATGTTGTAAATATCAATAAAACAACAATGAAAACATCGAATCTTCCTGTACGTTCAAAATCAATACAAAGATCATCTTTATTATGTGGTCAACAATCAAATCAACCATCAACATCGAAAGAAAATGTTTAGCAATGTAAAAAAATTTTTTTTAGAAAAACTTATGTTTTAGTTATAAATTAATTATATAAACAAAAATCATTAATTATCGACAAAATTGGATAAATACTAGTCACATACACATACACACATTCTTTTAGGCTGAACTTTCACTATTATTTTGTAGATTATAATTATTATCACCAGAAAATAATGAAAATAATCTTCTAAATAATTGAAACATTATAAATCCAATTAATAAAACAAATGGTAAACCAAAACCAATTAATAAACAAATAATAATGATTGTCATTGATGTTGAAAATTGTGCCTCATTCATCGGTAATAATGATAATGATAATGAAAATTCGATTGATGTTCCATTTTTAGCCAAATTAAATTCACTATCATCTTCGGAATTTAGACGAAAATTGGCCAATTTTATTGGATATGATTTTTGATAATCAAAATAACCATTCAACGCTGATGATGATGGAATCGTTGTCATATTTATAATTATTGGACTAATCACTTTTAATGATGTAGCAATTTGTTGATTATGATCAAAATAGGCAACAGGTTTCCAACCAATAAACGATGATCGTGTTTGATTATCAATTTGATCAAATGAATCCATTTCATAAAGATAACGCTATAAGTGTATAGGATATACAATTGATTTTTTTTAGTGATTAGAAAAAGATTTGATTTTTTTTTAAATTAAAGATAAACTTACCTGAAAAACACCAGGTGTATATTCATCATCCATTCCTGTAAATTTTTCAATATGACCATTTAATGGATGACCATCCAAAATCGTAGTTAGATTGGCACAGATTTGTAAACAAGTATTATTTTTTTGTAATGATTCTGGTATGAAAAGATTATCAATTTCAAATAGTAAAAGATTACCACCTTCAGTGTAAATTAATTTTGGCAGTATTGTTTCACGTCCTGAATGGCCAGATATTTTTAAATGAAAATGAAAATTTCCAATATCAGAATTATTATTTGAAAATATAGCTTCAATTGATGATTGATTATTATGACGTTCATTAAAATTAACCGACCAATTTAATTGATCAATAGGAATATTATAAAGTAATTCTTTGGATGTCATATTAACAAGAAATAAATCGGTCAATTCAAATCCAAAACTATTTCTTATTGAACCATTATTAAAATTAATTGAATTCATTTTATGTTGAAAAAAATTCAACCAATCAATCGTTAATTTAGCTAATGGATCAGTTTCGAATAACATTATTGATGGTTTATAACCATTATTTGAAAATATCCATAAATTATGATAAGTAGATTGTGTGATATTTTTTTCATCATTTTTATCATCGATAGCATCTGATCGAATATAAACAATATGAGTATTATTACAATCTTCATCATTATGATGATTGCATCCAGGATTTTGTTCCATCGATAAAATTCGTTCAGCTATGGTTAGATGAATTGGAAATAGGAAAATTCCAACAGCAACAATAATCGATACGAAAAATATTGAATTGGCCATTGCTTAAACCGATGATTTTGATTTATGATGAAATGATGTTGTTGTTGACAATTAGAAAAAAAATCTAAAAATGACACCAAATAATCTTTCTGTCACGATAATGGCAGAATGGAATGAAATTTTTTTTATTTTAAAAAAAATGGGTGTTACATTTGATCTCTCTACCTTAATAGGATTTTTCTCTTTTTCTTCTATTAAGGGTTATCACAAATCACAGAAAAAATGTGAAGCACGTGATTTGCTATCAATTAAAAGTTTATTGATTTCCGATAGAAATTTAATCAATGTGTGGTGGTATTATGCAGCCTACAATTTACAAATTTTGTCAAAAAAAAAGATTTAAAAGAAACACCACTTAATCTTGAAAAAAATACAAGGATATAATATGTCGCCCTTGTCGAGTGTAATTTTTAATCGAAAAATTTATTTATTTTTCCAAAGAAAATGACGCATATATATGAGATATATAGATAATGAATGAAATCCAAAATAACATTAATCAATTTGAGAAAACAAATCCAATAAAAATTGAATTTAATTATCATCATCAATATTATAATGGATGGTCTATTTCCAAATGATTTCTCACCGAAGCCTATAGTGTGTAAATAGGTGAATGATTTTGAAAAAAAATTTTCTTAAATCAATCGATTTTCAAGCATGAAGATATAAAAATTGTTTAAATATGGCCAAAATATTTGAATCAACATCGTTGGTAAAAAGTAATGATTCATATGTATCCTGATATTTGAATATAAATTGATTGTACTGGTTTAACAAAAAAAAGGAAAAAATGAATGATTATTTGAATCATTATCAATCAAATGATGTATAAGATTGCTTACCAAGAATAAAACTTCTTGCAAACGACTCATTGTCCAAAAATACCAATAATTACGAAAACTTTTACCTTCAGCTTCACAACTTTGAATATGCTCGGTAAGTATCATGATGAATCGTTGTAAAATGATTAGGAATAGATTTTTCTGTTCCGATTGTAATGAATCTAATTTTTCTTCCAATTTTTCAATCGTTTCATAATTGATGGATGCTGTTTGCGATTGTTCTTCTTTAACCGTTGATGGTTCATCACTCACCATCGGAACACTACTATCTTCGTTTGACTAAAGACGAAAGAAAAAAAATTAATTAAAAATTTAAATTAAAAAAAAATAAACTTACCGAATTCAATTTTGTTCGTGATTCTTCAAGTTCTTTTGTACATTTTTTAATATTACGAATTGTTCGTTTGATTGTTGAATGTAATATTTCCCACATGTAAAAACTGTATTTTTTCATTTAAAATTAATAAAAAAATTTTAAATTAAATAAAAGTGAAACTTACTTCATAAATTCTTCAGAATTTGCTTTGGAAAATACCCAAATAGCTACATTCGAATATTGTAAGACTTCGGATTTCATAAGTTTATCAATCAAAATGACCATCAACTATATTCAAGGATAAACAGTTTAGGGAATTAGTTTTGTTTTGAATTTTTAATAAGAAAATTACCTGTTGATGAGAAGTCCAAACATCGAATATTGTATCCAAAATCCAAATCTGTGATTCATCAGTTTGTGATAATTTTTTCAAAACTTCACGATATTTAGCTATGAATGCAAATGTATGTGTCATTGATTTGGATGATACATTTAATAATGATGTAACAAATATTTCAATTTTCATCTTCAATAATGTTGATGAATTCATTGGAAACGATTTTTGTTCATTTTCATCATCATCATCATCGTCGTCGTTAATTTCATTTAAAATATCAATTATTTCATCCGAACTACATTTAGCTCGTAATGCATCAATCATGTTGCTTACATTTGAATTTGTATATTTTGGTTGTTGATCATCATCATCATTATCTTTTTTATTATTGTTTGTATCATTATCACCATTATCATCAATAGTTTGTTCATTATCGATATCCATTTTTTTATCTTCTTTTGGTTTAAGAAATTTATTCTTCGGTTTAGCCATTTCGGGTGCTAATTTATGAAATGTTTGTGGTACACTTTCCAAAACTTTTGCATGATATGATAAACGTAAACAATATCTTAATGTTTCGGCAATAAATTTTGGTTTTGGATGTAATGGTTCATATTTTAATGCAATACTCCAATCATCCCAATTCCAACGAAATTGAAAATTACTTAAATGATAAGCAAACCATGATGCAAAACGATTAATACAGGCTCCATTCATTGTATCTAATCGATCAAATAATAATTCAACAGCCTGTGCTAATACCTGTGGAAATGTACTTGGTTGTAATTTACAAAGATCCAATAAAATTGATCCATAACAAATTTCCGGAAATTTTGATTTCGGTAATGCAAACATTTCACCAAACATAACTTCAACAATTACATATTCTAATGGAATTTTCGAACCAATCGATAGATTCAAATAGTTTAACATACCGGTAGCACAATCTTTACGATCAAAACAATTTAGATTAAAAATCCAACGTAATGTATCTTCGATTATAAATCGATCAATAGAATGAGATCCAGGTAGAATACTACGTTCCGGACAATCAGTATAATCAAATAAACGAAATACAACTTGCGGATATGGATAAATATTCGATGATTCATGTGTTGGTGGTTTAATTGAACTAACATTATGTTGTAATGCTTCACATAAAACATTATCAAAATGTATGTATGGTCGATAGATATGATGTTCAATCCATTTTTCTTCACGAAGTTTACTTATTTGATTCCAAATACAACCAAGATATTCTTCCTGTGGATGTGGATTATCTGAATGCCAAACTTTTAATGCAGAATGATATTGTGTTTTGGTTCGTTTTGCCATATAACTATCGATAGTGTTTAATATTTGATCTAATTCTTGTTCTTTTTTTTCATACAATTCTTTACCCACCCAAGGTAATGCCGATAAAACAATGAATACAAAATAATCTGAACGAACCTGTGGTATATTATCTTCCATTGTTACATCAACAAGATTTTCAAACAAATTGATCAATGAACCACATGAAATAACACGAGTATTAACTAAATCGGCCAAAAATCGAACCAAAAAACGTGCATTTTCATACAAACCATTTTTCAAATGATTTCGTAGATTGACAATCAATTTTTCAACTACTTCACCACCAAACGAATAATTTCTTACATTCAACAAACCGACCAATGTTGAATAGATACAAATTTTATGTGGAAATTCGACAACACATTCACAGAAAACATCAACAATGCGAGTATTTTTTGGAAGAATATCAAAGTTAAAAATATCGGCCAAATCTTCAATATTCTTATCGATCGATGATGTTGATTTTTCACCAATTTTAACAATCAATTCATCAAGTTTATCTTCAATCGATTCTTCCGATATCGAAAACGAATCGAAACGTGCTTTCTTTTCGAATCTATCTTCATGATCTACTTCTTGAAATCGTCGTTTGAACATGGTCACGGTGTTATTTTTTTTGGTTTGTTTGTTTGTTCTCGTTATTTCAATTGACCCAAACACGCGATTATTGAAACAATCACACAAACTTTGCCGGATCGATTGAATTCTCGAACACTCGTTTTTTTTAAGCGCCGGCTATTTATATTCAAACAGCGTGACAATTGTCGAAATAGTTTGATGAAATAGTTTTGAAAATGATCCATGCTTTTTTGATGATTATTATTTCTTGTCCAACAAAGATTAACCGTTAAAAAGATTTTTTTTTTGTTTCTCCGAATACATCGATCGATGACATCCGAAAAAGAAAAGAAAACAGAGTTCACGGCAACTATCGTGATACCATTCGAAACTGAACAACAAGCTCAAATTGTTAGTAAAAGTTTAAATGTTGATCTGAAACATGAACCATCACGATTATCATCATCAATGATAGCTAAAGAGATTTGTGATAATCAAAACGAATTACAAATAAAAATTGTAACAACCACATTAAGACATTTACGATTACAAGTTAATTCGGTTCTTGAATTTACAATTTTATTAATCGATACAATTGATCGATTTGATTTGAACAAAAATCACGATGGATGATCGAACCGAATCGATTGGATCATCATTTCCAGCTCCAAATATTGGCCGTTGTATTTATGGATTTGTTTTATTTCTAGTCTCAATTGTTTCATTGGTAATCTATTATTTATGGGCATTCATTCCAAGATATCTAATCGAAATGACTGGCATTACATATTTTCCATCCAAATATTGGGCCATTTCAATACCAATATTTTTCCTGATGTTTATATTATTATTCGGTTTTGTTCTGTATCCTGCCATTAATCTATTTCTTACACCATCATTAACAAATGTTTCAACCATATATGATCGATATTATTGTAAAGCAGATCTTAAATCCTTTAATAATAATGGTGATTGGAATCAAGGTATACCTCATATTAAGGATTTACCATTGGATTTTGTTTGTCAAAAATTGTATTTGAAAAAAAATTTTTGATTTATATTTCTTTTTTTTGATAAATAATTTACATTTCTTCTTATTCAATAAAAAAAATCAATTTCATAAAAAACAATTTTAAAAAAATTAAAAATGACGAATGAAAACATTGTATGCATTTTGATTCTTGAGATAGATAAGGTGAGGTGTAAGATTAATTTAGATAAGCCTGGAATTAGATAGATTTTGTGAAAGAACCTGACAAACAAAACGAAATTGTTCACAATGTTGTACACTAATCATTCGTTGAAATCGTAATTGTATTAATGCTTCGGGTACATCAATTGGTTCGGAATGTTGATAATCATCAAGACATTTAAGTAAGGCATCGCATAATATCATGACACCACTACGTCCAACACCAGCACTACAATGAACAAGTATTGGTGGTAAAATTGGTGGTTTTTGCAGCAACGAACTAGATGAATGTCGTTTACGTCCAAAACCAGATCCATCACGATTATTTTGTCGATAAATGGCATCCATTTCTGATAAAAATGTAAGAAAACTTTGTAAATCACCCGGAATAGAATGATCATTCCAATCAGTATAACGAAGATGTGTAATTTGTCTTCGTTGACCATTATGCGTTAATATTAATAAACTTAACATATAAGTCAATGTTTCGGCGGTATATGTACAGGTAATCTAAATTTTAAAAAAACTCTAAATTAATTTATTCAATTTCTCAAATCTATCAATTTTACCTCATAATCACCAAAACGTAATGTATTTTTACCTGGTTCACTTGACAACGGTAAATAGATATAACATTTTTGTGAACCAGATTCGGTAAAATTCGTAACCATTACAATTAGATTGATATGTTGTTCAAAAACCATTTGCCAAAAATCTAATGTTGTATTTGGTAATGGTCCTTGTGCAGCAATATAATGCTGTTTCATCGAACCGAATTTCATTATAACATGTGATGCATTAATATAGCCATGTTTATTATCTTTGGTTGGTGTTAATTTAACACTATGAAAAGTTCAAAGTAAAAAATAAATTGAATAAGTTTTGTAACAGAAAATATTGTTAAAAATCCTTACCGATTTTCCTCATATGGCAATATATCACGAAAACGATTTTTTAAAATATTTTCTGCCAACGATGCTGTCGTAAATTTTGCCGTCGGATTCATTCGTGGTAATAATTCAAATTCTTTGGTAAAATCTTGATCAACAAAATTTTTGTCAAAAACAAGTATTCGTGAATTGGCCGTTATTGTTTTTGCTGTTGGCATCATTGTAGAATTATTTTTTTCCATCGATAATTTGGATGTTTGTTCAATTTTTTTAGCTTCCATATTGATAAAATGTTGCTGTTGTTGTGGATTGATTGTTTGCTGTTGTGATTGATTTTGATTTATGGCAATATTATTATTATTATTATTAATCGATGTTGCAAGGACATGATCATGATCATTATTGACATCAATTTTTGTCATCATCATTGTTGTTGTTGTTGTTGCTGTTTGTGATTGTAAATGTTGTTGTTGTTGTTCAATATCATTGACAGTTGTTTCGGGCAATTCATCAATTTTTTGTGAAATTTTAGAAAATTGTGACATTGTCATTTGTTGTGTTGGTCTTGTCATTATTTGATTGTCATTTATCGTTGTTGTTGTACAATTATTATTATTATTATTATTGTTAATGTTTACATTACGAATGCCAATATTATTCGAATCTAAATGTTCATTCGAATATTTTGTACGTTTTAAATAATATGAATTTGGTGAATATGATGATAATGTTGATGAACAACAATTATTATTCTGATGATGATGATGATTATGATTATTAAATAAATTTGGTTCAGATCCGGTTTTATTCTGTGACCAACCGGAGAAAAATCTAAAAAAATTTCTTGTTTTACTAAATTTCTTTTCACCACCACCAACACCACCAAACATCATTATATCGTTAGGATAGATTTGTAAATTTGAATGTTGTTTATTGAATGTCAAATCTGGAACACTTGTAAAATATGGTGGTTTTTTCATTATCATTGATTGTTGTGGTTGTGGTTGATTAATAGGAGCAGCATGATGATAATGAATGGCGTTTCCATTCTCAATATTATTACGATTGTTATTATTCAACATCATAAGCATTCCTGTACCATTATTATTTGATTTGATTACATTTGGATTATATTGTTGAATCAGCCTTTGTTTTTGTTGCTGTTGTTGTGATAATGATTGCTGTTGCTGCTGTTGTCCAATAAACATCAATGGATTTATTGTATTCAAATCGGGAGAACTTGATGTAAACATTCCGGATTTTTGTAGACGTTGATGTTGATATGGTAATTGATTGGCCGGTATTGCCATCATTGTTGTTGAAGAATCTTCTTGTGGATTAGGCGGTAATGAACAACGATGATTTGATGTTGATACAGATGATGATGATTGTGATTGTGATTGATCGATAGCTAGATTCGATAGATCTGTATAATTACGATATATATTTTGAAACGAAGGTTGTTGTTGTTGTGATGATTGACGTTGTTGATAATGTTGTTGCTGTGGAAATGAAAATGGCTGACATTTGACAGGTGAACATTGATGATTATTTGTTGGATGAAAAAGATGATATTGTTGTTGTTGCGAATGTTGACCCAATGATAATGATGATGATGATGAATTAATCTGTGTATGACTAGCTGTTATGCTATTATTACTTAAACCTTCTTTCATCATCATCATCATCATCGTTGAATTTCCTCCAATTGTTCCTCCGGTAGCTAATCTTGATGGTATCGATGTTAAACTTTGACTCATCATATTCTTACTCATCATTGAATATTTATTTGTTAAAAATGTTTCATAATCCGGTGGCATACGATATGGTGGTAATAATTTTTTTCGTTGTTCATATGTCAAATCATTTAGATTTGATGGATTTTCATAAATTGGAATATTTTTTGTTATAGCTGCTGTTGTTGGTGTTGCTGCTGTCGTAGTTGTTGATGAATCAGTCGACATAATCGTATCATCCATTTTAAATGGCTGTTGTACATCACCACTGTTATTATTATTATTATTATTATTATGACTAAGTTCACCTGATTTAAGATTATATTGATTAATAGCTGTACAATTAATCTGTATATGATTTAAATCAATTGGTTCAATTGAATTTCGTTTATTATATGATAAAATATTATCCAAATTATCATGATTCAATGATGATGATTGATGATGATGATGATCCAAATTAACAATGGTAGTAGTAGTAGTAGGAGTTGCCGTTGTTGTTGGTATCACATCAATAGTTGCCGAACCAATTGTTTCATATACAGATTGATTATTATTGAAATTATCTACCATTGTTGTATGATCAGATATCGGTGTTGATTGTTGTTGTTGTTGATGTACAGAATTATTTGAACCATGATGTTGTTGTTGATGAATATATAATGTTGATGGATTCAATAATTTTGATGATGATGATGATGAGGCAGATTGAATCGGTTGTTGTTGTTGCATTATTGAATCATTATTTCCAATCAAATGATGTTGTATAGCTAATTGTTCAGCTAAAGAATTTGTTGCTGTTGTTTGATCATTTTGTTGATTTACCTGTGCATTCTGTATACCTTTCATAAAATATTGATGTTGTTCAACACATGTTTTCCAAATACAATTAGCATAATCACTATCATATGTTGAATAATTTTTTGAATATTTATCCGTAAAACGTTCAATAGTAAATACTTTTTTCTGATGCATTAGATTAGCAATATCCATCCATTTAAATAATTCCAATGTATTATTATCTTGATTGACAACAAATATTCCACGTATACAAACACCAAGACAAACATCTTGCCCGGTACTTAGATCACGTGCTGGAAAACCTTCCTGTCCATATCCTTCACGACGTTGTGCTTCACTTATATAATAAATTTCAGCTACACTTGGCGGTACACCTTGTAGATTACGATAAGCATTTATAACACATTCAATCAATACATCACGAGCAATTTTATTCGTTATCATTGATTTTGGAAATAGGCTAAAATTATTTAAATATTCAACCGTATGACGTTCAGGTGAATAATCACCAAATTCTGCTTGTAAACTAAAACTAGCCAATAGAATAGCATCATCACGACTACAAGCAATACGGCCATCAATAACTAAATTTTTCATTGCATAAAAATAATGAAAACGGCTTACTTCATCGGATAAAAAATGAAAATTCGGTACAAAATATAGTAAACGAAAATATAGCCGTATTTCTTGTGCATATTTTGATAATTGTTTTTTAACCGATTTTTTTAAATCAATCCATTGATCAACCATTTTTTTCGATCGAAATAATAGACTAAAATATTCTGGTTGTTGAATACCGATTTTTTGACAAACATTTTTTAAACATTCTTCACCCGTACTTGTTGCAAATAATGTACATTCAATACATTCATTTGTTAATAATTCAATAGGTATAACAAATAAATCTTTACTTGCAACATTATATTGTTGACTTCGTTTACCGGGTAAACGAAAAATAAAAGGCATTTTTTAATGATTTGTTGTTGTTGTTGTTGATTTGAATTATTAAAGAAAATATTCATAGCCAAAGTTGTTTTTCTATGGACGAAAAAAAAAGATTCAAAATTTTATAAAATTTTAAAATTGACAAAAAATAAATCCAAAAAAAACACAAACCTTTTTGTGTGTATTTGTCATTGAAATAAAATTTTGAGAAGAAAAAAAAATTTTCACAAAGATATGATTAAGATCAGAAGCAATAAAATACTTTAGTTTACGACAATAAATATGTATTTCGTTCTCTCTTTTTTTTCTACATTATTTAAGAAATTGACGAAAAACAAAATATCATCAACAGCAGATGTGAAAATACTCAACATAGATGATGATGATCATCATCATCAGATGATTGATGGATGGAATGAGATAAATGTATAGATAGCATCAGGTGGTTAATTATGATTTAATTTCTATTGAAATTCTTCTGTTTTTCCCCAGTAAAAAAAAACTACTACCACAGTTTGAATGTGCCAAGAATTTATGATGAAGCTCGATTTTTTTTTCTTCTTCTTTGTAAAATTTTTGTATTTCACGCTCTCAATGTTGTTGTTGTTGTTGTAGTTCCCGTTGATAATGATGATGATGATTCATTCATTCATTGAAAAAAAATTTGAATTTGAATGAAATTTTTTGCTTTCATAACAACCAACAACAAAACAAAAAAACACAATTCAATTCATTCAAACAGTTGTTTTGTTGTTGTTTTGTTGTTGATTTGTTTTTCTTCTTCTTCTCGAATTATTTGTAGCACCTTTTGATAACGATGATGATTATGGTGATGATAATGAAACTTGACTTGGATAACTTGTGGCAGGTGACTTTTTTTTCAATTAAAAATTTCTACTTTTTTTTTCTCCTTTTTCAATGATAATGATATACCTGCCCATGCATGCATGATGCATGATTATATAAGGAAAAAAAAGCTCACCAAAAAAATGCTAATAATGGCCAATTTGTTTTGATACCAGTAAAATTTTCAATGTTGTTTCAATTCCAAAAACATAGATGACAGCAGTATCTTGGATTCTTGTTTTTTGAGCCAAAAAAATTTTTTTCCTGAAATGCAATATATTGCAAACAATATTTGTTTTTGCTGCTGCTGTTGATACTGCAGTATACAGCCAGCTGTTGATGTCTTGTTTGGATTCGTCCATGGCTTCTTCTTCTTCTCCAACCACATTGCGAATCAGGAAAAAAAAATCAATTTTTTTCCTATACTATTTTCTGATGTATGCAACTTCCATCAATGATGTTTGATGAAGGAGTGGCTTCAAAAATCTACAATTTTGATGATGTTTTTGGAGAAGAAAACATGAAGAACCCGAAAAGAAAAGAGAAATAATGATCTTCTTCTTCTTCTTCTGATGTTGATGATCGTTATTCTCAGTCAATCAAATCAAATCATTCATCGTTTTGATGTTGGTTTAGCCAAAATAAAAAAAAGTGGTGATCGACTCGTTTTCATTTGTTTGTTTGTTTGTTTTGAAGATTTCTCTTTGTAAAAAAGAAAGGAAAATGAAAATCTTTTAAAAAATATTTTGATCCGCTTTATGCAAAATACAACAACAACAACAGCAGCATTAATTATCTAATTTCAATTTTTTGTTTTGTTTTTCTTCTTTAAAAAAAATCACAATGGATCATCATTATTATTATTTGAAATAATAATGATTATTGTTGTTATTTGTAATCACGATTTACATTTATAATTAGTTGTTACCTCGGTGTTTGTTTGTGTATTTTATAATTCTTTCTGTGTGTGTTTTGTGTTGTAATTAATTTTTTTTTTTGTTAAAAATCTTACCTCATCAAAATGTCGAAACGGTAGCCAGCTACCGGATAATTACATCTCGAAAAAAATTGATGAAAATCCACCAAAAAGAAAAAAAACGAAACAAAATGTTGATCGATTAAAAAAATTCGAGTAAACAAAAAAAAATTCTGGCAGCTAAAATCATTTTTTTCGAAAAAAAGACAGCTTTTTTTGGTTGTGAAACGAGAAAAATTCCAACAAAATTCCAAAAAATGGCCCAATTAATAGAATATTATTCTTCTTGTCATCTATTTAAATGGCAACTTTATAGAACTTGTAAAATATGGCCAACATTAATATTAATATCATCATTATTAATACAATTAATATCAACATTTAATTTGGATATAAATTTACCTGTATATAAATTTGGTCCACCTGATTCATATTTTGGCTATTCGGTTGCCGAACATATTATAAAACGTTCTAGTCAATCAACGCCAGTGTAAGTATTTTTTGTTTTGTTTTTTTTTTTTTTTTTGCTGATTATTTCATCGAAATTATGTAATTCAAAGAACGATTTCTTTCTAAAAAATTTGAACAAAATATCTTATCATTGCAGAAAAAAATATGAATGAATGAAATTTGCTTACTTGCAAAAAAAAAATATTTAATCATTTGGTAAATTGATATTGTGGGAAAAAAATTCATTGATTAATGGATATTTTTTTTCAGATATTGATTTTAAAGATGTTCTTTCGTTCGTTTGTTTATTTCAAGTTCAAAATTTTAAAATGTAAACATTTCATAAATCTTTTCCCGTTGAAATAAATGAATATTCTTTATTTCATAGTATTATCCAAAATTCATTGTTCTTTATTGCTCTTGTTTGAAATTTCATTGAACTCAACATTCATTTGATTTCGGACGGTTTATTTGTTATCATTATTATAATAGTAGATCATCATTATCATCAGGTATTTTTTTTTGTTGAAATAAACATATCTGTTCGGATTAGATGCATACATAAAAGGCGAGGCAATTTTTTCATTATTTGTATCAGAAACAAATATGATATCCAAAAAAAAACCTCCACACAAAATCACAAATTGTCATTGTAAAACAAGATTCATTCAGGTTTTTATTATTCATTTAGTGTAGGAGCTATTTGTACGAATAAAGAAAAAAATGATCCAAACAAAAAATTCAAAAATCATAACCAGACAGACATTCGAAAATTCGAACGTTTTTTTTTTTTTTGATCAAAAAAACAAACGTTCGAATATTATACCGGGCATTATCAAATAGTACGTAACCGTTTTTTTGTTTCACCAAAAACAAAATTAGATAAAACAATTTGATTATAACCTTAGATGGATATTTGTTTATTCACAAAAAAATAAAAATAAAGCAAAGAATGAAACAAAAAGGTGTTGACCTTCATTCTTGAAGGCAGAAAAAAAAGGTGTGTGCCATTTGATTTAATAAATAGCAAAAATAAAAAAAAAAATTTTGGAAAGCAAAAACGTGCTTTAACCGGAAATTATTTCGCCATTTATACTCATAGAGAGATACATGTTGTTTGATAATAATAACGATGATGATGATGATGATGACCATATTTGGATTGTCATATAAATTATTTGTTTGTGTGTGTGTGTGTGTGTATCAATCTTGTTTATCATTTTCTTAAATGAAAATCTATTGATGGTGATGGAGTAAAAAAAACTGCTCGACAACTACCACCTACTCATCATCATCATCATCGTTTCAAGAAAAAGAAAAAAATGGTAAACATTTTTCCAATTAAAGTCTTGATCTCCTGTATATGGATATAATAATAATAATAATGAAATAGGTATTATTTTTTCTTATAAGAAAAACTTGTTGCATATACAACAGGTTGTGTTATAGATTTTCTTTTGCTTTTAGATTTGTGAAAAAGAAATTTATAGATTATCATTATGATTAAAAGCGACAAACACCTACGCAAATTTTGTTGTTGTTGTTGTTATTGCTTTCATAAATGTCATGATTTAGATTTTTTTTTTTTGGAAATTTAAATTTCCGGAAATTTTCTTTTTTGTTGTTGTTGTTCAAAATTATTCTTGAACAACAAAATGATGATAATGGAAAAGGATAATGTCCTTTTCCATCAAGACTAAACATACAGGGAAAAAAAGAATCCAAAGTTCAAAACTTAAACAAGAGACATTCAACCTAATTGAACTTTGGCCAATTGGTGGAATTCGTTTATTTTTATTTTTCATCATTGTCGTTTTTTTTACGTTTAGTTTCATTTTGTTTGTTTAATTTAGTTGTTATTGTTATTGATGATGATTAGATTGAATGTTTGTATATTTATGATCGGTTGCCATGTTGCCCTTCATCATATCTCTTTCTTGATGAAAAAAACACATATATCACACACATTAAGGTTACCTTTCTTTTCTTTTCTTTTTATTGGTTGTCATGGTTATTGGTGGTGTGAAAATCTCAAATTCAGGTTATCATCAATGATTGACGAGGGATCTTCTCCAAGAATATCGAATATACCATGATCGAAAATTTTTTTTATTGCTGAATAAAAAATTTTTTGGCATGATTTTTCACCGGCTTTTTTCGTTTACTTTGTGGTTTATTCGAAATGTAAAAACAAAACAAAAAAAAAACATAGAAATTTATACCTATATTAGTCAAATATCAGCCACACACACTTGAAAAAGATCGATTAAACACATAAAATAAAATGAAATGAATGAATAAACAAACAGAACAGCCAAAAAAAAAATCCCCGAAAAAAAGACTAAACAAACAAAATATAATTCAAATGTGTTGAACATACTTTGTTCAATGATTATTGGCTTGATAATGATGATTTTTTTCAGCAAAATAGAAATTTTTTCACGAAGAATGTATTTCTTTTTTCTGGTTGATTGAATCGGATGATATTCGTATGTTGTCAATTATGGGACCTTGGATTCGAATTCGAACGTTTATCATTTTTCGAATGTTTCACTTATTTTGAACATCCGAAAAAAATCCGACAATCGATATAATCGATATTTATGATTATTGCATACTGAATTTTTTTCGGATTTTCCAACAAATCCGAATCCAATTTGGCATCAATTCAACCAAACAATCAATTCAGATGTTTTTCAAAGAAAGAAAAATATTCACAAAAATTTCTTCAAATAACAATTTTTAAAAATAAAATTCCTTCTTGTTTTTTAATATAAACATAATCTGATCTTGAGAGAGAGAAAAAAAAGAATCAAATCAAATCGAATCGATTGATTGCAATTTTGAAAAAAGAAGAAAAACAAAATCCGAATCCGAATTACTAATTAGAAATAAGCAGATGTTTTTTTTGGTTTTTGGAAAATAAATTTTTAAAAATTTCTAAATTCTTGTATTCGCCCATCACCCCATTTTTACATAGTCTATTGGTAGGTGCACCACGAGCACAAATTGGCCGTATACGTACAGGTGCATTATTCAAATGTGACCTAAATACACGTGCACATGATTGTATAAATCTTTATGTTGATCCAGATAATTCTACCTGTAAGTAATTTTCTAAATTAATAAAAAAAACTTTCCATCATTATCATTTGTATTTGTAATTATAGTTTCCGAAAATATTGATAAAGAAGATCAATGGCTTGGTGTAACTGTCAAAAGTCAAGGTGAAGGTGGTAAGTATAATTTTTTTTTGTGAAAAAAAAAATATTCCAAAAACCTTTACACCTTGATTTATTCTAGGCTATGTTATGGTCTGTGCACATCGTTATGTACTAAAAGGTTCAGATTTTCGTTGGGGAAACGGTATCTGTTATTCATTGACACAATTTTTGGATTATAGCCGTACATATGAACCATGTCGTGGTCGTGTTGTTAATCTTGCACATGAACAATTTGGTTTGTTTGTTTGTTTTCAATTGAAATTTCAATTTTTAATTTTTTTAATTTTTACAAAAAAAATTTTAAAAGGTTTCTGTCAAGCTGGTACCAGTGGTGAGATAACAAAAAATTTCGAAATTCTTATCGGTTCACCTGGTCCATATACATGGCGTGGAACAGTATTTTCCAATAACATCCGGTAAAGCAAACAAAACTACCTTGAAATCATCATTTTAGCGTGTAGCTTTTTCCCCCCTTGTTTTTCCATTTTCATTTTCATTTGTTTTTTTGTTTCAAAAATTTTCAATTTTTTATTTTTTATTTTTCTTTATTTTTTTCCTCCTTTTTTTTCTTCTTTCCATAGGCGTGGGTATATATTTATTTACTTTAAAAATTACTAAATTCATTCAATTTTTTCCACAAAAAAATCTGCTGCTGCTGTTGCTATTTGCTGCTGTCTTTGTGTGTTTGATGAAATTTCAATTCTTTGTTGTCATTTTTTTTCTTTTTTCACTAAAATTTCTTCAAATTCTGTCTTCTGTCTTCTACTTCTTTTTCATCATCTGATTCAATTGAGAAAAAAATATCCTTATCTATCGTATTGGAAATTGGAAACAAAAAGTTTTCTTTTGTCTATGAAATGATTCTGCTGATGCTGAGCGCTTTTTTTTATGAAAAAATGAAAATTCCTCCTTTTTCTTCATCGACAAAAATTCTGATTAATTTTTTTTTCTCTTCGTTTTTTTTTCTTATTTTTGAATTTTTTTTTTAAATTTTAATTGAAAAATTTCAATCAAAAAAAAACAACAGTTATAGTATAAAAGATGATAAAACCTGGTATATGGGACCAGTAATTGAAGGTAAATCACCTGTTGATAAATATAGCTATCTAGGAATGAGTGTTACAAGTGGTGATTTTTTTGGTGATGATAAAATTATTATTGCAACTGGTGCACCACGTTCAAATGGAACTGGTGAAGTAATATTTTATAGTAAAGATTCTGGTCGTATTGAATTTGATATACGTGGACGTTTACATGGTGAACAAATTGGTTCATCATTTGGTTATTCAATGGCTAGTTTTGATTGTGATGGTGATAAGTAAGTTAATTTTTTTTTTGTTGAATTTTTCTAAATTTTTTTTTCGGAAATTTTTCTTCTCTTCAGACATTCAGATTTAGCAATCGGTGCACCATTCTATTATGATTCAAATGATAATGGTGGTGCTGTTTATATTTATCGACAAAAAGATTTACGTATTGGTTCATTTGATAAACATGTTCGTTTAACTGGTCGATTAGAATCACGTTTTGGTTTTTCCATTGCAAATGCTGGTGATCTTAATCGTGATAATTTTGATGATTTAGCTATTGGTGCACCATATGATGATAATGGTATTGTTTATATTTATTCGGGTAGTCAAAATGGTTTAAAAACAGAACCATCACAAGTTATTATGGCAAAAGAATTACCATCACCATTAAATCAAATCCGTACATTTGGTTATTCATTATCTGGTAATCTGGATTTAGATCGTAATTCATATCCAGATTTACTTATTGGTGCATATGAAAGTGATGCAATAATTTTATTACGTTCAAGACCAATTATACGTATAAAAACATTAGTACATGGTAATATGACACAAATTGATCCAAATACAATTGGTTGTCCGGAAGATCCTGCAAGTAAAATGTCTTGTTTTTCTGTTCGACCTTGTTTTCAATTTACCGATCTAAGTAATAATATGAATTCATTATCAAAATTTGCATTACGTTATCGTATTGAAGCTGAAACATTTGCCGGACGGCAAAAATATTATCGTGTTATATTTCGTAATTCAATGGATAATTCACCTAATATTGTTGAAAAAACTATTTCATTAGGTTTGTTTTTTTTTCGAATTTTTTTTCTCATTTTAAATATTTTCAAATTATTATCATAGATTATGGTTATACACGTGAATATTGTACAAAAGAATTAATTTATCTAAAAGAAAAACAAGATATACAGAATAAAATTGCCTTTAAATTATCATATTCATTGAAACAAACAAAACCAGAATTACCAAGAGAAGGTGAACCATTACCCGATATAAATGAATATCCAATACTTGATCAACAAGAAGCACAACGTATATTTTATGCAAAATTTAATAAAGATTGTGGCCATGATGATATTTGTGATAGTAATCTTTTATTAAAAGCTGAATTATTACGTGCAAAAAAGAAGAAAAATGAAAATAATTATACAATGATATTGGATGATGAAAATATTCTTGTAAATATTAGTTTATTGAATCGTGCCGAACCAGCTTATGATACAGCAATTATTATTGATCATTCACCAAATATTAGCTATGTTGGAAGAAAAATTATCGATGATCAAGTTGATTGTGTACCAACTAAAAATCAGGTCCGTTGTGAATTAGCTAATCCATTCAATAAAGGTCGTACGGATTTTCAGCTACGTTTTAATAGCTATCAAATTGATGATCGTCAACATGAATTTTTTATCAGTATAAAAGTAGTAACGTATGTATTTTATTATGTTCATCAACAAATAAATAATTTTTCTTGATAATTTTGTTTTTAGATCTTCAAACGATATATCTGGTTTAGATAATCATTTGGAATTTTATACCGAAATACAAAGACGTGCTGAATTAGAATTATCGGGTATTTCAGCACCAAAAGAAATTCATTTTGGTGGTGAAATTCGTGGTGAAATGGCAATGAAATTTGAAGATGAAATTGGTGAAAAAATTATTCATCGTTATATTGTAACAAATAAAGGACCATTACGTGCAAAAGATGTTGCCGTTCTAATTGATTGGCCATATCAAATTGATAATTCAAGAGAATTTGGTAAATGGATACTTTATATATTATCAAAACCAAGTGTTACCGGACAACTTGGTTATTGTGATCTTGATTCCAAATATGTAAATCCAAAAGATTTTCAAAATGTTAAAGATGATAATGAAAATATTAGACGTCGTCGTAATGTTATTCAACAACAACAACAACAAATTCGTGATAAAGATGGCCATATAACAAATGTTGCACATTTAACATGTGGTTTAGGTGCACGTTGTGTAAAAATTCGTTGCTGGATTTCACAAATTGAACCAAATCGTACAGCTGTAAGTTTTTTTTGTTGTTGCATTGAATTAAAAATCAATCTACTATTTATTTATTGATTTCTCCCTTTCAAAAAACAAACAAACAGGTCATACATATACGTTCAAGATTATGGAATGCAACATTTATTGAAGATTTTTCACATTTTCATCATGTTACAATACAATCCAAAGGACGTATACAATTAAATCCATTATATAATATTATACAGGATGAACATGATGATATTTTTTTGGTAAATCAAAAACAAAACAAACAAATTTTAATTTGATTTTTTTTCAAATCAATCAATATTTTATTTTCCATATTTATATATATAGATCGAAACTGATGCCTATCCTGATGCTATACATAAAATACCACAAGCAAGTTGGTGGTGGTATTTATTAGCAATTATTATTGGTCTAATTATTTTATTATTAATTATTTCAATATTATGCAAGGTAATTTGTTAATTTGTTTGTTTTATTCGATTATCGATTTCTAATCCTTATTTTTCAATCAATCAATATTTAGACTGGTTTTTTCAAACGAGATAAAGGCTATCATCAAGTTAGTCACAATGATGGAAATGAAATTAATTAACAAAGAATTCAGAAAATTAAAATTTAAACCAAACATGTGATTTGCTATTTGGCTTGCTTGTTTTTTTTAAATATTGTTTCTGCATCCGAACCAACCACCGTAACCAGATTCATCAGTTTTGTTGATTGATCCAAAAAAATTTTTTTAAATTCTTCACCAGTGGATCAAAATTAATCCTGCCATTTTCGTTATCCATCCATCAATCAATCGGAAAAAAAAATTTTTGGATCAAACAAAAAACTAAAATCAATAAACATTCCTTGTAAACACCACCATACACAACAACAACAACAACTATTTTATTGATTAATTTCGAATTTTCTCATTTTTTGTTTGTTTGTTTTTGTTTTGAATTTTCTTTCTTTACATCTTTACACACACAAGCACACACACATCATATTCATTCGATTTTGTTTTGTTTATTGTAAAATTATTATTAATTTTAATCATTTTTTTTTGAAATTTCTAAAATTTTGATTTCATCATTCATAATAATAATATTAATATTTCATTAATTTTTTTTTTATAAAATTTGATTACTATTTGTTAACATACGATCAACAGGACCGGATTGTATTATGTTTACGTCCGATATTTGATCTGTTATTGATGATGATGATAATGATAATGATGATAATGTTGATAATTGTGGTTGAACAAAAACTTTATTTAATGGATCGTCACTTTGTACAGCTGCTGTATTTATATTGTTATATGCATTTAAATTAATCACTGGTATTATTGGTCGTTCTGGTACTTCATTTATTTTTTTATATTTTATTAGAATTGGTTCGGATGAATGTCGATAATCGGCCAAACCTTCTACATTAAATCTAAAAATTATTGATTTATTAATTGATTTGAATAAAAAAATTCAAATATAAAATTAATAATCAAATAACTTATATTCACACTACTTACCTTTCTTTAAAATCAACATATCGATATATACAAATAGATATAATAATGAACAAATAAATAGTCCATAATATACCTGCAATTATTCTAAATGTTTTTTGATTTGATGGTGAAATCAAACAAAAATAATTATCATTAGGTATACCAGGTATAAAAATTTTTTTCCAACATTTTTTAAATGATTCCAATGTAATATTTTTAAGTTTTTTTGAATATTCTTCATCACATTTATTGGCAATATTATATTCACAATTCATTGAATCCCATACAAAACAACAAAATCGTTTTGTAGTATAAAACTTATTTTTAAATAATCAGATATAATTTTTAGTTAGTTAATTAGTTGTTTAATAATAATTTAAATCAGGAAAAAAAAAGAATACAAAATATTTTAGTTTTTATAGATATGATAAAAAACTTACATAATCAGTTTTATCAATATCCCATTCTTTATGTGACCATATTTCACATTCATTAAATCGTTGTCGAATTGATTGATCACAATCTAATGAATCAGGTATACCATAAATAGGTTTATATGGAAAACGTTTCAAATACCATTTTGAATTTTCGTNAAAAAAAAGAATACAAAATATTTTAGTTTTTATAGATATGATAAAAAACTTACATAATCAGTTTTATCAATATCCCATTCTTTATGTGACCATATTTCACATTCATTAAATCGTTGTCGAATTGATTGATCACAATCTAATGAATCAGGTAAACCATAAATAGGTTTATATGGAAAACGTTCCAAATACCATTTTGGATTTGTTCGTTTTTGTTTATTAATTTCAAAAAATTTATCAACATAAAAAACAAAATCAATTGATTTTTTAATTGACTTAAAAGTTGATTTTAATAATTTCATTAAAAACGCATTGATTGGAGTAGTATCTAATAAACTCATTGTTTCAATTTGGACAAGTTTTTTTTCAAGTTTATTCAAAACGAAAACAATTTGAATGGAAAAATTTATACCAGATTTAAATATGGTTATGTGGTTAATTGGAATTTTCGGAAGCCAAAAAAAACTCTAATCAAATTATCATTGGTTATTTTTTTTTTGAAATTGAAATTATTTTGTATTAATTTGAATTTGATTGAAAAAAAACAACAACAAAAATAACTAATTTTTATTAATAATCGTTTATTGTAAAAATTATCAATTTTTTTTTTGGATTTTCAGTAATAATTATAAAAATTTTGTTAACATTTTTTCAAATATATCAACATTATTTGGTTGTATTATTCCCGATATTTGATTAATTACTGTTGTTGGAATTGAAACTATTGATGTTGGTTGTGGTGGTGGTGTCGGTGGTACTGATAGTGTTGGTGCTGATAATGTTCGTCTAACATTCAGTGTATCAGTTTTATTATCAAATTGGAATTGACTGATTGATTTACTTCTTACATTTCGAAAATTTGTTGGTCCATCAGACATATTTTGATTATTATTATTCATTATTTTTAATCTAAATGTTTTTTTTTGGATAAAAAAAGAAAATTCATTTATATAAAAGTTGTTCAATAATTTGATAATCATTATTTACCATACTTTTTAGCATAATTACAAGCATCATTTATTCTATAAGATATTACAATAAACATTATTATGAACGTCAATACATAGACTATATTTTTAAATGTTTTGTTAAAAGTTAATGAAAACAAACAACAAAAACTTCCATCAGTTGCTGAAATTATATCACATGCTTTTTCAAATGATTCCAATGTAATATTTTTAAGTTTTTTTGAAAAATCTTCATCACATTTAGCGGCAATATTATATTCACAATGCATTGAATCCCATACAAAACAACAAAATCGTCTTGTGATAAAAAGCTATTTTGATTATAATAATAATAATATTCATTTAAGTGAATAGCGATAAATAATTAGATAAAACTTACATATTCATTAATAGAAACATCCCATTCTTCATGTGACAATATTTCACATTCATTAAATCGTTGTCGAATTGATTGATCACAATCTAATGAATCAGGTATACCATAAATAGGTTTATATGGAAAACGTTTCAAATACCATTTTGAATTTTCGTCGCTTTCTTTAAAATAACCTCCCCAAATATCATATTGACTTTTTATTTCTATCAGATCGTTTATTNTTCATTAATAGAAATATCCCATTCTTTATGTGACAATATTTCACATTCATTAAATCGTTGTCGAATTGATTGATCACAATCTAATGAATCAGGTAAACCATAAATAGGTTTATATGGAAAACGTTTCAAATACCATTTTGAATTTTCGTTGCTTTCTTTAAAATAACCTCCCCAAATACCATATTGTCTTTTTATATTTCTCAGATCGTTTATTGTTGATACGAACAAATTAAAAATATATTTTGGAAGTGAAATGATTTCACTTTCAGTTTCACTACTTCTGCTCATTTTCAATAAAAATTTTCTTTTCTTTTTTTTTAAATTCAAAACATTTGAAAAGAAAATTGAAGCCAATTTATATAAACCAAATTGCTTAATTGAATTTGAATTCGATTTCAACAACAACAACAACAAAATCAAAAATCAAAAATTCTATAATTAAATTTTAGCCATTTTTTTTGAACGAATTTTCAAATCACTTATCGAATTTGAATCGATTTTGAACTTTTTTTCATTGTAGTTATGGATCAAACGGAATTTTCGCAATCAAAAAAAAATCTATCAACAAACGCAAACAGAAAAAAGAAAAAAAGAGAATTTTTGAGAAAAAAAATTCATTTTAATAATTCCATAATTTAATAATATTGAATTTTTGTGAATAATTTTCTATATCATTATTCATATAATTCAAATGTTGTAATAATTGATCCGGGGGTAATGATGATAATTTTTGTGAATAATTTACCATTTGTTTACTTAAAATTTTATGATATTCTTTAATTAAATCTTTGTCAACGTAAGTAGTTTTTGGCGGAACTCTTCTCCGTTTTAATGGTGTTGTTGTTGGTGTTTTTAATCTTGCATTATCCATTGCTTTATCAACTGCTTCCATTTTTTTGTTTTTTCTAAAAAAAAATCGGTTTGTTTGTTGTGGTCAGAGAAATCAACAAAAAAAAAATTCATGCTATATTACTTACATATGCTTATTAATTATCAATCCAGCAACACAGGCAACTGTAATGACAAGCAGAATTACTCCAGTTATAATCCAAGCATTAATTATTCTTTTTTCTGTCCACCAACAATGCCAACCATAATTAGAACCAACAATTTTATCACATACTTTTTTAAATGTATCTCTTGTATTTGATTCTAATTTTTTCGAATATTGTTCATTACATTTTTTTGCAACATCCAATTCACAATTCATCGTTTCCAAAATGAAACAGCAAAATTTCTTTGTTTCATAAAACTTTCGAAAAAGATAATATAAAAAAAATTGCTTTATTAATTTTAAAATCAATTTCAAATGTTACATTTTGAATAATAAAACTTACATAATGATCAACAGCAATTTCCCATTTTCTATGAAATGATATTTCACATTCATTAAATTTATTTCTAGTCGATTCGTCACAATACAATGAATTTGGTAATCCATAAACTGATTTATATGGATATCGTATATAATCCCATCCAGTTTGTTTTTTAGGACTACCATGCAAAATAATTGAATTATCAATATTGGCCATACACATATTATTCATAGTGATGATGATTATAACAACAATCATTAACAATTTTGAATAGAATCGATAATAATCCATAAAGAACAATTTAATCATTTGAATAGAATATTATTGTAATATTTTCTATATAAATAATTTCACTAAAATATTTATAAATTTAATAAAAATTTCCTCATCTATATATATAAAATTCTAATCATTCTTGTTTGTTTGTTTTTGTTGTTGTCGTAAAATATTCAATCAACATTTATTTCATTCATTAATTTACCTGACACGATATTACCTCTAGTGTATAATACTAGTTCAAACATATCAACTTTATTTTCATCCATCCAACGATTAACACGAGCCACACAGTTGAAATACTTCACATACTGTTCGATAGTTTCGCGTTCTATTTTCGGTCGAGTTTGGACCCAACCAAATTTTTGATCAACGAAAATTGGCGATGCCGAAGAATATGACGATTGGTCATCGTCAGATAGCTGGTTATTCATAGACATTATTATTTTTCCGGATCGTAACAACATAGAACAAAGACACCTGCCACCATATAATATTATAACTGTCCTGGTAGAGCGATGTTACAAAGATCACACAAGCAAAATAGTTGCTCTCAAATAATAAGTCACTTTTATTAAACTTTTATCAAACGGAATTTTAGCAATCAAAAAAAAATCTATCAACAAACGCAAAAACATATACAGAATATGAAAAAAGAGAATTTTTGGTAAAAAAAAATTCATTTTAATGATGAAATATTATGATCTAATAATGTATTCAATTTTTGTGAATAATCCACTATTTGATTATTCAATTTATTGTAATGTCGTAAAAATTTATCCGAATGTAATTCTGCTACTTTTTGTGAATAATTTGCTATTTTATCACTAAGAATTTTATATCTTTGATTAATATAATTTTTGTCAATGTTAGTAGTGGTTGGCGAAACTGTTTTCGGTGTTATTGGTAATTTTGTTGTTGTTGTTGACGAAACTGTTTTCGGTGTTATTGGTGATTTTGTTGTTGTTGTTGTTGTTGGCGATATCGATGTTAATTTTGCTTCATCCATTGCTCTTTTTAGCTCTTCAGGTTTTAAATTTTTCATTATTTTTTGAATATTTTTAAGCTTGTCTACTGTAGTTTTTCCTTTATTTGGATTGACTCTTGTTTTGGGAATTATTAATGCTTCCAATTTTCTGTCTTTCCTAAAAAAAATCGGTTTGTTTGTTGTGGTCAGAGAACGCAGAGTCAAAAAAAAAAATAAAATAAAAAATTCACTATATTACTTACATATGCTTATGAATTTTCAATCCAACAAATACACAGTAAGCTGCAACAAAAAGCAGAATTACTCCAGATATAATACCAGCCCAAACTTTTCTTTCTTCTGTCCACCAACAATGCCAACGATAATTAGAACCAATAACTTGATCACATACTTTTTTAAATGTATCTAGTGTATTTGATTCTATTTTTTTCGAATATTCTTCATTACAATTTTTTGCAGCATCCGATTCACAATTCATTGTTTCCAAAACGAAACAGCAGAATTTTTTTGTTTCATAAAACTTTCAAGTAAGAGAAAACAAAAAAAAATTGTTTTAAAATCAATTTCAAATATTACCATTTTGAATAAAACTTACATATTCATCAACAGCGATTTCCCATTTTCTATGAAATGATTTTTCACATTCATAAAATCTATCTCTAATCGATTCAACACATTTCAATGCTTTTGGTAATCCATAAACTGATTTATATGGATATTGTACAATATCCCATCCAGTTTGATTATTTTGTCTACCATGCAAAATAAATGAATTATCACTATTGGCCATACGCACATTATTCACAGTGATGATTATAACAATAATCATTAACAATTTAGAATAGAATCGATAATCCATAAAGAACAATTCAATCATTCGAATAGAATATATTGTAATACTCCTATTTAAATAATTTCACTAAAATATTAATAAATTTAAAAAAATTTCCTTCAATTTATAATAAAATTCTAATCATTCTTGTTTTGTTTTTTGTTTTTGTTGTTGTTGTAAAATATTCGATCAACATTCATTAATTTATTTTTTCATTTGTAATTAAATTATTTATTTGTTTTTAAATTTATTCATTAAAATTGATTTAAATGATAAATTAATTTGTAAATTATTGAAGGTATTTTTTTATATTTTTTTTAATACAATATTATTAAACTATCAATTAAATTTCGAAAAATAATAGCTTCGTATTTGTATTTGGATCAATGTTTATTTGTAATATTGAATCTGTTATGTCTTGTGATATATCTTTTATTTTAGTTGATTCAGAAAGAGATAATGATGATTTTATTGATGCTAATGATGGTGTTGGTGTTATGGTTGGTGATGGTGCCGGTGCCGATGTTGGTGTTATGGTTGGTGTTGGTGCCGGTACCGGTGCCGATGTTGGTGTTGGTGTTGATGGCTGCGTAATTGATTGTTGTGGTGATAATATTGTTGATTGTGATGTTGGTGATGGATAAATCAATTTTGATTTGATCATTGCCTCTGTAAGCTGTTCAGGTGTAAATGCTTTTAGTCTATCAACGTTTTTCAAAAAACTATCCATATTTCCAATTTCACTTTTTCCGTATTTTGGAATTATAATTTTATCGGGAAAAGGAATTTTTTGGGGAATAGGATCTTTTTGAAGTTGTTTGATTCTAAAAAAAAATTTGTTTTGATCAGAGAACACTTGTCATTGTCAAATTCATGAAATAACACTTACTTATTATTATTATGAATTTTTAATCCAACAAATACACAGACCACTGTAATGAAAAGCAGAATCGCTCCAGCTATAATACCAGCCCAAACTATTCTATTTTCTGTAAACCAACAATGCCAACCATAATTAGTACCAATAACTTGATCACATACTTTTTTAAATGTATCTCGTGTATTTGATTCTATTTTTTTCGAATATTGTTCATTACATTCTGCAGCTACAATCAATTCGCAATTCATTGTTTGCCAAATGAAACAGCAGAATTTTTTTGTTTCATAAAACTTTCAAGTAAGAGAAAACAAAAAAATTGTTTTAAAATCAATTTCAAATTGTTATAAATTTGAATAAAACTTACATATTCATCAACTGAGATTTTCCAACTATCATGTGATGATTTTTCACATTCATAAAATCGATCTGTAATCGATTCACTACAATTCAATGAATTTGGTAATCCATAAACTGATTTATATGGATATCTTACCCATTCAGTTTGATTATTTTGGCTACCATGCACTATGAATGAATTGGCTATACACCATTTATTCATAGTGATAATCATAACAACAAACCTTAACAACAACTTTGAATAGAATCGATAATCCATAAAGAACAATTTAATCATTCGAATATATTGTAATATTTCTATATAAATGAATTCTCAAATTCTTTTTTTTGAATTTTTCCAAAAATTTCATTAAATCTATAATAAAATTCTGTTTTGTTTTTTTTCGGTAAAACATTTATTTCATTCATAAATTTTCATTTGTAATTAAATTTATTCATTAAAAATCAATAAAATTGA